GCATAGGTTCGATCCCGAACCTGACGCCTGCTGCTGTATATTTGGAGTTTGCTTGTCTCTCTCATCATCATCATCACGGTGGCTATGAGATGTTAACTACCTCGTTTGAGCCTGGATAGTGCTTGGATGGGTGACCACCATGCACGCGGCAGGCTGTACTATACAACTGCGGGACTGTGCGATTGACATCACAGGGGGAACAGTGCGGCAAACCTATATAATTGTTGCTCTGTAGTATGCTCCCCCGCCTTCACCAACCAGCACTGACCAGCGTGGTGAAGTATGGCCAAACAACGTCGATGATTTACCCAGACGTGGGTAGATCACAGGAGTGGAAGTGTGCGGGCGAATAGTGCACGTGGGCATGTACACTATTTACTATTCAAGACAATTTATTTTATTTTAACAGGCAAGGCCCACTGAGCTATGTAGATTTTTTTTCCAGAAGCGACCTGGCTATCACAAATGATAGCTCAACGAAGTGGCTTATCACGTGGAAATAATTAGCAGCCAAATAATATAAACGCATATTTCAAAATGTGGATGGGCAAAACCAGAGGACCCGGAGAAAAATCCACGCGACCACGGGGAGAGAGAGAGACACGCAAACTCCAAATATACAGCAGCAGGCGTCAGGGTCGGGATGGAACCCACGACCTCCCGCATACCCGGCGAGGTAGTCAACATCTCCTAGCCACCACGATTTGGCTAGAGACAAGATAGTTTAACGGATATGTGTTGAGCAATACGATTGAGCTTTACAATGCTGTTTTACACACAGCTTCTGCTAATGCACACTGACTCACGCTGCAGGAATAATCTGTCCATCTTTGCTTTGATCGATTCACGTAATCTCTGCTCTACCTCCCCTGATGCAATATATATATATTAAAATGCATCGTGTTAAACTGCGCCTAAGCGTCAATCATTAACTTGCTACAGTTGACGATATTAGAAAGAAACATTGGCCATACCCTTTGTACCTTTGTTGAGTTTTTGTATCGGTCAAGAATATGATCGCTATACTTTACGGAGGGATTATCCTGACAAGGATCGAACTGGTGTGGAGTTGTCTCATTGTCCTGTTGCTGCTGTCTGTCCCTTAGTGTCTCGTATGCTTGAACTTCTTTCGCACCGTACGGAGCCAACCGGGCTTATGGGAGGTGCGCCCGAGCCGAAGGACAACAAACCAAACACAAAAAGCAGTTCTCGAGGAATGAGTTATCAATGTAGTATAGCGGTGTAGTGGCAGTAGTGTAGTGTATAGTGTGGTGTATAGTAGTGGAGTGTATAGTAGTGTAGTGTTTCGTAGTGTATTGTCTAGTGTAGTGTATAGTAGTGTAGTAGATAGTAGTGTATAATATCGTGTACTAGCTTTACTACCCGGCTTCGCCCGGGACTTGGATTCACCACGCCCGGCCGCCTTTGTCTCCCCAGTGGCGATATGTATACATCGCACCAGGTACCCATTTGAGGCTGAGTAGACCTAGGGGAGGCCTAGGACCGGCTCAGATAATCGCCACCGGTGTTGGCCGTGAGCAGGGAATCGAACTCGGGTGGTCGGGTTCGTAATGCAGCATAGCGCTAACCACTGCACCACCGCTCCCCAAGACACAACACAAACAACACACAAACACAACAACAACGACCATTCGCCACTAAGTGGCGGAGACGTCACCACGATGCTTGTGCCAGGCTAGGTGCACCTTGAGGCCACGTGAAGTGTCGAACGCCCGCTGGCAGGAGGTCACGGGGCAGACCCAGGTGCCACGGGTCGACTGACTGAGACGACTGGCTGATACACCACCTGTGCCCCCTACTGTACCAACTTGCTGTGCTTTATCCACCCGGCGCTCCGCTCGTTGTTGTGAGCGTCGCTCCTCCGCCCTCCGTTGTTGTTGGAGGGCGACTGCCTCCAACTGCCCAATAGCGTCCTTCACGAGCCTCCTCCACAGAGGCCGATCTTGACACCGCTGGTACCAGTCATCGGCAAGTCACTCAGCTCCACGTCCTCCTGTACCACATCACTCCATCTCTTCTCTAGCCCGTGCCGCGCCCGTCTAGCCCCCTCGATACGGCCAAACAAAAGCTGTTTAGGCATGCGGTGACTGGGCATGCGGGCTACATGACCCTGCCAACGCAGCCTTGCCTGCCGGAGGAGCTCACCGATGGGACTTTGCCCAGATCTTTCAAGGATTTGTGAGCTCCTCACACAATCCAGCCTGGTTAAACCCAGGATGGATCGAAGGCAGGCCAGGCTAAATGTTTCCAACTGGCGAAGATGCTCCATTAGGGGGGTCCACGTTTCGCAAGCGTAGAGAAGGGAGGGAATGACCGTGGCCGAGAAGACCTGAAGCTTCGTGTGGAGCGACAGACAAGGTAGCTTCCACACAGCGTTACGCAACCGATGAAAAGATAATGCCGCTCGACTGATTCGGAGTGAGACCTCTGCTGTTAAACCGGTTCCAGTCATGAGCACACTGCCCAGGTATGGGAAACTCTCCACTCTCTCCACAACTTCCCCATCACCGATTGTGAGTTGTGGGGGTGGAGTGCCCGATGGTACAAAATACCCATTCAGGTGCTTCGTTTTGGTGGGGCTGATGGTAAGGCCCCACCTCTTAGTGGCACGCTCCAGCTTCAGCAGCAGCGCCTCCAACTCCTCCTCTGAGTGAGCCACAATTACCAGGTCATCGGCATACATAACATGGTTGAGCAATAGGGAGCCATCCCTTGACCGCACCCGGGCATCGATCAGCCACACACGTACACGTGCACAGACGCGACACGTCACTGCCACCCCACCCCCAGACTCAATCATCACCATGCAGACTCGGGTCTCCGGTGTTAAATAACGATGATAATCATATCCTTAGGTTTTTTCGGTAAAGTCACGTAGGTAAAAACATTAAAAAGTAAAATAAAATAAAAATCACGACGTTTCGGAGGCAACACAAGCTTCCGTCTTCAGGTGGAACCGTCACAGCCACGACAGCTGTATCAAGTAAATGAGAGATTTCAGGAGCTACCACTGCGTTTATATAATGGTTGGAGAAGGTGGTGGGGCATGGGCCGCATCTTTATTATTAATAAGCTGTCGTGGCTGTGACGGTACCACCTGAAGACGGAAGCTTGTGTTGCCTCCGAAACGTCGTGATTTTTATTTTATTTTACTTTTTAATGTTTTTACCTACGTGACTTTACCGAAAAAACCTAAGGATATGAATCATTGCAGTCACGAAAGCTTCAAATCTAGACGATAATCATTATTCTTTACATCCCTTAGTCAGCCGCTGCTAGACGAAGACCTCCGCATGCCATCGCAGGCACGGGGTGGGGGAGGGGGGGTTTGACCTCTCTCCCGTGGGTCAGTGCAGTTGGTGAAGGGGGTGTGGGGAAAGGGGTTTTGCCTGCCGGGACTTGTTTTTAATATTACCTGGCAGTCCTCGGGTTACGAACCGAATTCGTTCCCGAGACCCGTTCGTAAGTCGAACGGTTCGTAGGTCGGAACACAACCACTGTATTTAAATGGCCATACGATCAGTGCCGTGAAATGTTCAGCGGTTCAGTTTGTAAGTGCGAGTTCGCGTTTTAAGTCGATATTTTTGTTGTCCGGAAGCTGGTTCGTAAGTCGGGCGTTCGTAGGTCGATGACTGCCTGTAATTCGCCACTGATGGTAGCCGTGGCTGGGTATTGCACTCAGGTGGCCCGCGGTCATATGAAACAACCAATTTGCGTTTAATTCATTCGTACGTAGTGCGGCTCATTAATTTAATTTAATTCTAGATTTGAAGCTTTCGTGACTGCAAGGATTCATATTCTTAGGTTCTTTCGGCAACACGGAAGCTTGTGTTGCTTCCGAAACGTCGTGATTTTTATTTTATTTTACTTTTATTAATTTTAATTTTTTACCTACGTGACTTTACCGAAAGAACCTAAGAATATAATTAAATTTAGTTTATCATTTGTATTGGCTGACCTTGCCTCAAACCTTGCCACAGAATCCCGCGAGACACCTCCGACTTCAACACACCCTAGCTCAACTCTCTCTCCTCTACAGCCTCCACAAGTCCCCACATCTCAAAACGTCGGAAGATCCTGCAATGGACTCTCCTACCTCTCCCCTCTCATCTCACTCTACTCCCCTCCACGCACTCTCTAACCTCTCCCCTCTCATCTCACTCCCCTCCACGTACTCTCCTACCTCTCCCTATCATCTCACTCCACTCCTCTTCCACGCGCTCTCCTGCCTCTCCCCTCTCATCCCACTCCACTCACCTCCACGCACTCTCCTACCTCTCCCCTCTCATCTCACTCCACTCCCCTCCACGCACTCTCCTACCTCTCCCCTCTCATCTCACTCCACTCCCCTCTCATCTCACTCCACTCCCCTCCACGCACTCTCCTGCCTCTCCCCTCTCATCTCACTCTACTCCCCTTCACGCGCTCTCCTATCTCTCCCTCTCATCCCAGTCTACTCCCCCTCCACGCACTCTCCTACCTCTCCCCTCTCATCTCACTCTACTCCCCTCCACGCACTCTCCTGCCTCTCCCATCTCATCTCACTCCACTCCCCCTCCACGCACTCTCCTGCCTCTCCCCTCTCATCTCACTCCACTCCCTCCACGCACTCTCCTACTACCACTCCTCTCCACACACTCTCCTACCTCTCCCCTTTCATCTCACTCTACTCCCCTCCACGCACTCTCCTACCTCTCCCCTCTCATCTCACTCCACTCCCCTCCACGCACTCTCCTGCCTCTCCCCTCTCATCTCACTCCACTCCCCTCCACGCACTCTCCTACCTCTCCCAAAACATCCCACTCCACTCCTCTACGCACTCTCCTACCTCCACGCACTCTCTTACCTCTCCTCTATCATCCCACTCTAACCTTCCTCCACACACTCTCCTGCCTCTCCCCTCTCATCCCACTCCACTCCTCTATGCACTCTCCTACCTCCACGCTCTCTCCTGCCCCTCCACCCCGGGCTTGCCACTGACGTGTGCGTGTGTGTGTGTGCGCGTGTGTGTGTGCACGTGTGTGTGTGTGCGTGTGTGTGTGTGCACGTGCGTGTGTGTGGGCGACGCGAGGGATCCGCGCGACCGCCTCTCACCGCACCACCTTCAACCCGCACCTCCACGGCTCCTCTCTCGGACACGCCCCACCCCGGGGACCTTCCTGCCTCTGCCTCGCCGCCCGAGGGATTTCCTCTCGCCTCGCCGAGGTCCCTCGGTCCGACTCCGCCGTGTCCACGACGCCGAGCGGTTCGCGGAGATGTCCCGCGGCGTGTGGAGTGGGCGCGTGTTGCTGCTGCCGCCGCTGCTGCTACCGCTGTGCGCGTTCATTCTGCTCCAGGTGAGTGGCTGGGTGGGTCACGGTGCTTTACCCCACGTCCGCCCGCGTGCTGCGTCTTGCAGAGTGTCTCCCTGCCCCCTGTCCCCCTTGTCCCCAGCGTCTCGTGTCTACAATATTCATAGCCCGTGTCTGCAATGTCCCTGTCACGTGTCTACAATGTCCCTGTCACGTGTCTACAATTGTCCCTGTCACGTGTCTATAATTGTCCCTGTCACGTGTCTACATTGTCCCTGTCACGTGTCTGCAATGTCCCTGTCACGTGTTTATAATTGTCCCTGTCACATGTCTACAATGTCACGTGTCTACAATGTCACTGTCACGTGTCTATAATTGTCCCTGTCACGTGTCTACAATGTCCCTACCACGTGTCTACAATGTCCCTGTCACGTGTCTACAATGTCCCCGTCACGTGTCTACAATGTCCCTGTCACGTGTCTACATTGTCTCTGTCACGTGTCTATAATTGTCCCTGTCTCGTGTCTAATGTCCTTGTCACGTGTCTACATTGTCCCTGTCACGTGTCTACAATGTCCCTGTCACGTGTCTACATTGTCCCTGTCACGTGTCTAATGTCCCTGTCACGTCTCTAATGTCCCTGTCACGTGTCCACATTGTCCCTGTCACGTGTCCACATTGTCCCTGTCACGTGTCTACATTGTCCCTGTCACGTGTCTAATGTCCCTGTCACGTGTCTACAATGTCCCTGTCACGTGTCTATAATTGTCCCTGTCACGTGTCTACATTGTCCCTGTTACGTGTCTACAATGTCCCTGTCACGTGTCTACAATGTCCCTGTCACGTGTCTACAATGTCCCTGTCACGTGTCTGCATTGTCCCTGTCACGTGTCTACATGTCTCCGTCACGTGTCTACAATGTCCCTGGCACGTGTCTATAATGTCCCTGTCACGTGTCTACAATGTCCCTGTCACGTGTCTGCATTGTCCCTGTCACGTGTCTACATTGTCCCTGTCACGTGTCTACATTGTCCCTGTCACGTGTCTACAATGTCACGTGTCTACAATGTCCCTGTCACGTGTCTACAATGTCCCTGTCACGTGTCTAATGTCCCCTGTCACGTGTCTACAATGTCCCTGTCACGTGTCTACAATGTCCCCGTCACGTGTCTACATTGCCCCTGTCACGTGTCTAATGTCCCCTGTCACGTGTCTACAATGTCTCTGTCACGTGTCTACATTGTCCCTGTCACGTGTCTACAATGTCACGTGTCTACAATGTCCCCGTCACGTGTCTACATTGCCCCTGTCACGTGTCTAATGTCCCCTGTCACGTGTCTACAATGTCCCCGTCACGTGTCTACATTGCCCCTGTCACGTGTCTAATGTCCCCTGTCACGTGTCTACAATGTCCCCGTCACGTGTCTACATTGCCCCTGTCACGTGTCTAATGTTCCCTGTCACGTGTCTACAATGTCCCCGTCACGTGTCTACATTGCCCCTGTCACGTGTCTAATGTCCCCTGTCACGTGTCTACAATGTCCCTGTCACGTGTCTACAATGTCCCTGTCACGTGTCTACAATGTCCCTGTCAAGTGTCTACAATGTCCCTGTCACGTGTCTAATGTCCCCGTCACGTGTCTACATTGTCCCTGTCACGTGTCTAATGTCCCCTGTCACGTGTCTACATTGTCCCTGTCACGTGTCTACAATGCCACGTGTCTACAATGTCCCTGTCACGTGTCTAATGTCCCCTCACGTGTCTACATTGTCCCTGTCACGTGTCTACATTGTCCCTGGAGGTAGGAGCAGGTTCCTCAACCTCAGAGGGATGGTTCCCGAGTGGGTGAGCACCACGTGCTACGTAGGCTGCGAGTCTCACGTCTTGCACAACAGAGGACATTGCAGTAAAACAAAGTGTGGTGATCCCCCGCTATATATGCACAGTACATGCAATGTCCCCCCCCCCCCGCCTTCATAACTTCGTGACTGACCAAAATGGTGAAGTATGGTCGAAGAACAACGAGCCGTATGGTGCGGGGAGGCCCTCATAGAAATGTTGTTAATGGTTACCGTGCCACACTAATGGCGCTAATGGTTCACTAGTTGTGTGTGTGTGAGTATGTGTTGGTGTGTTGTGGTTGTGTGTGTGTGTGTGTGAGCATGGGTGTGTTGTGGTTGTCTGTGTGTGAGTATGTGTTGATGTGTTGTGGTTGTCTGTGTGTGAGTACGTGTGTGTTGTGGTTGTTTGTGTGTGTGAGTGTGGGTGTGTTGTGGTTGTCTGTGTGTGAGTATGTGTTGATGTGTTGTGGTTGTCTGTGTGTGAGTATGTGTTGGTGTGTTGTGGATGTCTGTGTGTGTGAGTGTGTGTTGGTGTGTTGTGGTTGTCTGTGCGTGTGTGTTGGTGTGTTGTGGTTGTCTGTGTGTGAGTGTGTGTTGGTCTGTTGTGGTTGTCTGTGTGTGAGTGTGTGTTGGTCTGTTGTGGTTGTCTGTGTGTGAGTGTGGGTGTGTTGTGGTTGTGTGTGTGTGAGTATGTGTTGGTGTGTTGTGGTTGTGTGTGTGTATGTGTTGGTGTGTTGTGGTTGTGTGTGTGTATGTGTTGGTGTGTTGTGGTTGTCTGTGTGAGTATGTGTTGGTGTGTTGTGGTTGTGTGTGTGTATGTGTTGGTGTGTTGTGGTTGTGTGTGAGTATGTGTTGATGTGTTGTGGTTGTGTGTGTGTATGTGTTGGTGTGTTGTGGTTGTGTGTGAGTATGTGTTGGTGTATTGTGGTTGTGTGTGTGTATGTGTTGGTGTGTTGTGGTTGTGTGTGTGTATGTGTTGGTGTGTTGTGGTTGTGTGTGAGTATGTGTTGGTGTGTTGTGGCTGTCTGTGTGAGTATGTGTTGGTGTGTTGTGGTTGTGTGTGTGTATGTGTTGGTGTGTTGTGGCTGTCTGTGTGAGTATGTGTTGGTGTGTTGTGGCTGTCTGTGTGAGTATGTGTTGGTGTGTTGTGGTTGTGTGTGTGTATGTGTTGGTGTGTTGTGGTTGTCTGTGTGAGTATGTGTTGGTGTGTTGTGGTTGTGTGTGTGTGTGAGTGTGTGTTGGTGTGTTGTGGATGTCTGTGTGTGTGTGTTGGTGTGTTGTGGTTGTCTGTGCGTGAGTATGTGTTGGTGTATTGTGGCTGTCTGTGTGTGAGTATGTGTTGGTGTGTTGTGGTTGTCTGTGCGTGAGTGTGTGTTGGTGTGTTGTGGTTGTGTGTGTGTGAGTATGTGTTGATGTGTTGTGGTTGTCTGTGTGAGTATGTTTTGGTGTGTTGTGGTTGTCTGTGCGTGAGTGTGTGTTGGTGTGTTGTGGTTGTGTGTGAGTATGTGTTGGTGTGTTGTGGTTGTCTGTGTGAGTATGTGTTGGTGTGTTGTGGTTGTGTGTGAGTATGTGTTGGTGTGTTGTGGTTGTGTGTGAGTATGTGTTGGTGTGTTGTGCTTGTGTGTGAGTATGTGTTGGTGTGTGTGGGGAGCGGTAGTGCAGTTAGCGCGCTGCGCTATGAACCCGGCGACCCGAGTTCGATTCCCGCTCACAGCCACTAACACCGGTGACGATTATCTGAACCGGTCTCCCCTAGGTCGACTCAGCCTCAAATAAGTACCTGGTGCGGTGTGTAGTAAACATCGCCACTGGGGAGACAGAGGCGGCCGGGCGTGGTTCTGCCCACCCACCCCCACGTGTGCCGTGCCGGCCTTCATAGGCGCTCGCTAACAGCACTTGCCCCAACAGTCTGTTAAGGCTACACGGGGGATCTTTGTCTTTGTTGGTGTGTCAGGTGTGCAGTGGGGTGCATGGAGGTCACCAGGTCACGAGAAGGACGCCACTCAGTGCAGGTGAGTTTGGAGCCACGTGTTTTGTTCAGATGCTTCACACTCTGCTCTACATTAGGCTAATCCAGCCACGGCACTGTAGGGCGACTATGGGCAGGCAACCCAAACTGTGGACCTTTTAGTCGACCCATAGAGATGGATAGAGCCTCGTGGAGTTGTAGAGACGTATATATATAGAGATACATTAAAGTCAAGCCACAGTAGTGTGGTTGTTGCCATGCAACCCAAACCCTGCACCACGTAAGGCAACCGCTGCAGCCTGCGGTCCTTCAACGAATGGGGAGGAGGAATAGCAAAAGTACACGAATGCTCTCGTGAAGCCCTCTCGTGGCAAAGCGTTTGGCTCTCGAAACATGCCGCCATCGTGCGTGAGAATAGAACCGCAGGCAAGATCTCCCGACGGGCATCACCGGTAGGCGGTTTGGATGCGTTTGCAGCGCGTCTTTTGGTTTTAACTCGGTTTCTGCGAAGGTCAGAGGGGTGATCTGAGACGTCGCGAGGTCCAGACGGAAGACCGCAGGAGAGTGAGAAGCTGTAAGCGGCGCCACTCGCGCATTTCGGCCTGATTTACGCGACCTCTGACCCACTCACCCGCAATGCACCGTTGTCAAGGCAGATCTTGGATGCTCGCACGGGGGTTAAGCTCGGATAGCGGCTGTAAGGGGCGTGAGCCGTAGACAAGCAGGGTTCTGTTTGGACTCTGGGGCCACGTGGTTGTCAGCAGAGTTCAGTGCAACAACATTGATTGCTGTACAATACTTTAACTTCTATCCTGTACGTGAGTATGTATGTTGAACTTCTTTCGCACCGTACGTAGCCAACCGCGCTAATCGGAGGTGCTGGGGAAGGACAACATACTAAACACAAAAAACAGTTCTAAAGCAATTCGTTTTCATTGTAGATTTAAGAGTCTACAGCTACCAGTGGCTTCCTATAATCGGAAGGAAGAGTATGACCCCTGTCTTCTTCACAAACCCGGAATGACCAAGCTTGGTTAAGTATGGTCAAATAACCCTGACGACCAGCGTAGTGTAGAGAGGCCCTCATCCTGCAGTGGGTTGAAAAGGAAGAGATCTCTGCACACGTTCGTGCACGCGTACTGCAGCGGAGGTATTTGTAAACTAACAAAAGGCCTATGCTTTATTTGACCAGGTAAGGCCCACTGAGCTATGTAGCGCTTTTTCAAAAGCGATCTGGCTGTCATGAATGATAGCCCAATGAAGTGGCTTATCGCGTGGAATTTGAAAGCAGCCAAACACTCTTTGAACGCATGTTCATAATTGTGGAGGGGAAAAAACCCAGAGAAAAATTCACGCAACCACGGGAAGAGAGGCACGCAAACTTCCAAATATACAGGCGTCAGGGTCGGGATCGAACCCACGATCTCCTGTATATCACGCAAGGTAGTTGACATTTCTCCACCGTGGCGCTCTATTCGTATGTTTGGCACTGCACCTTTCCCTGGAGCTTCCCTCCTGTTCTCTCTTTTGTCAGCAAATGCGACCCACGGCAGCGCTGGAGGACGAGAGCGCGGACAATCTCGACAAACAAAGGCGGCACCCGAGAACGGCTGGCACCAGTGGGCCGTCGAACCGGCAGGTCGACAAAAACGGTCGTGGATCCTTCCGCCCATTAAAGTGAACCACGTGATCGAGAACGACCACGGCCCGTTCCCGAAGGTCTTCATGATGGTGAGAGGTCTCCTTCGCCCAGCCTCGCGCTTCAGCTCGGGTCTCTCATTCGGCGCGGTGGTGTGGCTCATCGAGTGATGTGCAGGTCGTGAGACTTGACCTGGGTCCCACGAGGGTGGAGGGGCCCAGGCTCGAGGCCTACGAAGAGGAAATTGGACAGGGGACGCCATAAAATGTACAGTAGACTCCCGATTATCTGGGATAATGACGGGGAGGGCAGTCGCGGATAATTCAAATTCGTGGATCATCCAAAAATTTAAATTTCCCGCAGACCGATCAGTGCGCGCGCTCAGTGATAACACTTTCCTGCTCCTGCACAGAAGACTCAGCCCACTTGGTGGATAGCAGAACCACGCCAATCAACATCAGTCAAACTCCGCCCACTGTTGTAGAGATATTGCAACTACTGTACTGTAGCACACGTGGATTTCAGATTAACCGGAGCACATATTTGTACGGTTTAAGCTCGTGGCTTGTAATAAACACTTCCAAGAATAACAATCTATAACTGTTTTTAGATGATTAATTTGGGCTTTAGAGAAAATCCACGAGTTATAGATTTTTGTCAAAATCTCAGGTGCGCGGTTAATCCGCGAATCGGATAAATTGCACGTGGATAATTCAGAGTCTACCAATTGAGAGATAGAGTCTGTTTTCCTAGAACACGGTAGTTCCTGAAGAACACCGCGCGATGGAAAATCACGTTATAATGAAAGAATATATATAATAGAGGGTAAAGCTCAGTCCACGATAACGCGTGAGATACGTACGCAGGCTGAGCAGAGACTGAGGCGCGTGGGTAGCATCTAGAAGCAGCATCCAGCAGCATCCCGCCCTGTGTGATGCTACGCCGAAGCAGCCGTGCGACCGCTCATTCCGACTCGCGCGACGTAGTTACGTTCACTCAATCGCGTTATATCCAGTAATTACAACTAGCATCATCAGGCTTACAGCCAGATGTGTGGCTGTCCTCCTGATGATGCTGGTTGTAATAACTGGTGAAACGTCGCACTCGAATTGTAAATGTTGTGGGTTTACTCTCCAACACACCGGTGTGCTGTACTAGTAACGAATTGGCATGTTCTGTTTACGTGATAAAAATCCAACTAATTTGCTGTGTCGGGTGGTCGCAGGTTTAACGACACATTTATATTTAAGCAATCTAACCTAAAAAACTATCTTCTTAGTTCTTTCGGTAAAGTCACGTAGAAGGGAAGTAATAAAATAATAAAAATAAAACATAATAAAATAAAATAATATAATATATATGTTTTATTTTTATTATTTTATTACTTCCCTTCTACGTGACTTTACCGAAAGAACTAAGAAGATGAATCCCTGCAGTCACGAAAGCTTTAAATCGAAATCTAAAAAACTATATTATGTGTCCCCGAATTATATCCAATTTTGCGTTATGAAAACACGCGTTTTAAGAGAACAGACTCTATATTTTATTATATAATTCCTTACACCACGACCTATGCCAACCATGTAATGCCACTGATACGTGGCAGCTCAATTGATGCTCCACGTGATTTATTTCATTGTCACGTGGTCCCTTTAGGTGTTACCAGAGATGCTGACGGCTTCTTTGTCAGGCTTTCCTATCAGCAGTGGATTTGTCGTGGTCGATGACGACGATGATGATGATACTAACATAATGCTCTGCACCTCTTCTTAAGTATGTGTGTATGCACGCGTGCTGAACTTCTTTCGCATCGTACGTAGCCAACAGTGCTAATCGGAGGTGCAGGAGAAGGACAACGAACTATCAGTCTATAGCTGGGCAAGGCTCACTAATGGGCACTTTGAAGGGCACCCTGCTGCTGATTGACCAAAACCTTGAACGATGCTGAACGGCCGGAAAATTACGAAGAGTCTGCCGATAAATTGCACCGTTGTATTTGAAACATTTGTGCACTGCCTTCACGTCTACCCGTGTGTGCGTAGCTCAGTGCTGGGGAGACAAAAGCACCGGGTTATGGTGCTGGCCGCACAGGCCTGTCCCGCGCCGCGCCGTCCTTAACGAGTGCTCGCCAACAGGACCTGTCCCGACAGAATCTCAAATGCTATGCGGGGGTGCCGGGGGATGTTTGTGTGGTTCATGATGGGCGACTGACAGATCAGGTCGGACAAAGAGTCGAGCGTGAATTCGATAGTGTACAGCCTGCGGGGGCCCGGGGCTGACCAACCGCCCGTGGGTGTCTTCAACATCGACCCCATCACCGGCAAGGTCAACGTCATGTTCGTCCTGGACCGGGAGAAGATTTCAAGCTACGCGGTACATCCCCTCCCACCCGCCGCTTACCTTGTACGTGCACGGTTCACTCTTAATTGCCCACGGGCGGATTGTCCGGTCCGCAGAATATCACCGTGCTCGCACCCGCGCCACTGGCTAGACGGATGGCCAATTTGCAAACCGGTGCTTGCGTGCAACCTTGTGCCACGCAGGGACCGCTGCCACTGGGGGATCCCCTTGGATAAACCGCAGAAAGGTGCTGGAATGGTTGATATGAGATGTGATGTTAAGTTTCTGAGGCATTTATAAGCATCCTCTAAATGCGAAGCCTTAAAAATTTAAACAAAAATTTATCCACATGCGCCAGCTGAATTATTTTACGAGGTCACACTCATTACACACAAAGTGCTCGCCACAAAAGAACCACAGTACCTCGCTGATCTCGTCAAGGAGCATAAACCATCACCGCGCGAACTCCGCTCATCCTCGCAGCAGCAGCAGTAGCAGATCTTGGCTAACCATCGAACAAAGGCGGTGGTCACGGCGTCGCGCGGATCTCGTGTCTCGTCCGATCCCGTTGTCTTTTCTTTCTTTTCTGGTGACGCAGCTCAAGGGCTTCGCGAAGGATGAGCGCGGCAATCTGCTGGAGCCCGAGCTGGACCTCGCCATCAGCGTGCTGGACGAGAACGACAACGCACCGGAGTTCACGCAGATGCGATTCATGGGCAACGTGTCGGAGAAGAGCCGTGCAGGTTGGCCCCACGCACCGCGATGCGCACACAGACCAGTCCGCCCGCGTCGTATTTGGGGTTACCACGTGACGTAATTTGTCGTAGTGTTGCGGTCGTTGCGATATCAATTAAGGGCCCCACTGAGCTATGTGGATCTTTTTCAACAGCGACTTGGCTGTCACGAATGATAGCCCAATGAAGTGGCTTGTCGCGTGGAATTTTAACGCAGCCAAATACTCTTTAACCTCTTGTTCCTAAATGTGGAGGGGGGAAAAACCGGAGGACCCGGAGAAAAATCTACGCAACCACGGGATGAGAGGCACGCAAACTCCAAATATACAGCAGCAGGCGTCAGGGTCTGGATCGAACCCACGACCTCCTGTGTACCAGGCGAGGGAGTTAACATCTCGCCATCGTTTATAATTGTATTTCACATTACTATTTTGTGTTTTGCCCCAACAATATTAACTGTTTTACAATGGTTAGAGTGCAACACTGGAGCACTATGATCAATGCTTGAGGTAATTTGGTAATTAGGGCCAGAGCATCAATATGTGTATCAATACCAGTGATGCGCCAAATATAAATCATTAATTATACCGTCAAAACCTTGGAATGCGAGCATAATTCGTTCCGGAAACGTGTTTGTAATCCAAAGCACTCGTACATCAGTTGTGATCACGTGACGCTCGGCAGACAAAGCGTATACACGTACTGCTCGTATTGCAAGACCTCGCTCGTTTATCAAATTAATATTTATTTAAAAATCTTGCTCGTCTTGCAAAACACTCGCAGACCAAGTTACTCGCAATCCGAGGTTTTACTGTATTTGGTAAAGGGAAGGAAGTCAGTTTACAAATTACGATGTGCACGATGCAATCCCGTGTGGATGGTGAGTTGTGCGTGCGCAATTATGCGTGATGATGCTTGATCCCAAGTGTGTGCGGTGATGCGTGGCACGTGATCCACTCGTGATTGCGGGACGCAGGGAGCCCGGTCCTGACGGTGGAGGCCACGGACGCGGACGACCCCCAGACCAACCACGTACAGGTGGTGTTCAGCATCATTTCGCAGCAGCCGCCACTGCCGTCGCAGCGCATGTTCACCATCGACCGCTCCAGCGGCATCATCAGCACGGGAGCGACTCGCTTCGACGCAGAGGTGAGGATCCGTCCGCTGACGTTCGACCCCAGGTCTGACCGCTGGGCTGAACGGACGCAGGGCGGCGGGGTCCCCAATGACCCTCTCAAGGGAACGTTGACTCCTGACGCCTGCTGCTGCCGCTGTATATTTGGAGTTTGCGTGTCTCTCTCTCCCTCCCCGTGGTGGCGTGGATTTTTCTCCGGTTCCTGCGGTTGTTCCCTCCGCATTTATGAACATGCGTTCATAAATGTGGAGGGGGAAAAACCGGAGGACCCAGAGAAAAATTCACGCAACCATGGGAAGAGAGGCACGCAAACTCCAAATATACAGGCATCCGGGTCGGGATCGAACCCACGATCTCCTGTATATCACGCAAGGTAGTTAACATTTCTCCACCGTGGTGCCCTTTTCGTATTTTTGGCTGCTATAAATTTCCACGCAAAAAGCCACTTCGTTTGTGATAGCCAGGTCGCTTCTATGAAATAGCTACGTAGCTCAGAGTGGCCTTACCTGGTGAAGTTAAAAATAGTAATTACGCTTACGCGAAGTGCGTATTCGTGCGACGCAAATCGTCAGTCCACGACCGTCGCACGAGCATTTATAATCGAAGACATTCTTACAGCGCAAGCGCTAGGAGGGAGCTGTCTTTCACAGATGAGATATATCTCCGGCACCTTTTTTACCCTTTCTGGCAATAAAACCAGGTCTTAAGATGCTAAAACACCAAATAAATGGAATCAAGAACTGCGTTAACCACGCGTACGTGTGGTGAACATGCAAACACACGTGCTCTGACGTTATATGCATCGTCTTTGAAACCGTCTTTGGTGTAGGCCAATCAGTTTCAAAGGCAATACAAATATATTGTCTCTGCAACTGTGCAAGGCAAATCCGTTCACGTACTGTACTTCTACGCCGCTGCACGTTCCACGCGCCGTATTTCGCCGCCATTCGCAGCGTTAAGTTGCGCTCCGCTGTTGCGATGGGACGCAGGCTGTGAAGTTCTACACTCTGCTGATCCGTGCCAGTGACTGCAACGGAGCGGATTACGGCCTCTCTTCCACCGGCACGGTCGTCATCCAAGTGCAGGACGTCAACGACAACGCGCCGATGTTCCCCCGGCAGAACGTGAGCGGCCGCCCTCCACGCCCCCCCCCACACCACCCCCCCTCCCGACCGCCCCCAACCCAACGGTGCCGCCGCCAGCGCCGCCCCGCCGCTTGCCGCGGGGCTCTTGAGGCTCTCGGACGTTGCCGGAGAGCAGAGGTCGCAACCGGGTACCCGATACCCATACCGGTCCCACCTGATGACGGAGACTTGTGTTGCCTCCGAAACGTCGTGATCTTTATTTTATTTTTATTAATTTTGATGTTTTACCTACGTGACTTTACCGAAAAAAATAAAAACCTAAGAATATGTACCCGTACCCTACCTGATACCCGGCTACCCGTACCTGGCCGGGTACGGGTACGGGTACCCGTTTGCGACCCTGGTGCGGCTGGGTACGGGTACGGGTAAGGAATCAAAACCCGTTTGCGACCTCTGCCGGAGAGCGCCGCCGTGGGGCGCCGCGTATCGGGCGGTCGTGTCCGGCGGTCCTATTGGCTGAAGCGATCGGCCGACGGTTCGGGAAGATCATGAGATGTCAACCCTTTCCCCGTTCCCGATGGAGTGCGTGCGTGCGTCGGTCATCGTTATTTTTGTTTCGATTCCGTACCGATGACGTGCGTGTACACCCCATGAAAGCGAAACGGGACGAAAAACTAAAAACGCGATAACTTTATTGGCACTGAGGCTCCCGCAAGGCCACGCGGCGCAGTTTTTGCGCCAGCCGCAACCCTCTGCGGCGAGTGCAACGTCTTTTAACGACAATGGTCGAGTTACGCCTCTCTGAATGAAATTGACGCCGCCCGCAGCTCATTTGCACGGTGCTGGAGAACATGGTGGGCGAGTCGGTGCTGGTGCTGAAGACGGAGGACGGCGACACGCCGCACACGCCGGCGTGGCGCGCCCGCTACCGCATCGTTTCCGGGCAGCACAGCGAGAGCTTCGACATCGCGACCAACTACGTCACCAACGAGGGCATCCTCACCGTCAGCAAGGTGCCGCAAGCAGCAGCCCCACCACGGAAGGGGTGGGGGGGGGGGGGGATGACGACACGCCACGGCGTTGTGCAACGTTAGGGAGCCGCTGCAGCTGTGCACTTTAATTAAATGTCTTCATTTTCGCCCGCGCTGTCTTCATTTTCGCACGAGGTCGCGGTCGTCGCACGCAAAGTGCTCGCCACGAATGAGCCGCCAATAGCTTGTTGATCTCATCGAGGGGCATGAACCGCCGTCGCGCAAACTCCGGTCGTCCTCGTGGCTTTTGGCTCGCCGTCGGACAACGACGGTGGTCACCGCGTCGCACGCTACCGGATGCGCTTTCTGCGGCCGTCCTTACGATATTAGAAAGCCACTGGGAGCCGTGCACTTTTACATCTAAATTGAAAGCTCATTTCTTTAGAACTACTTTTTGTGTTTAGTTTGTTGTCTTTCCCCCGCACCTCCAATTTAGCACGGTTGGCTACGCACGGCGCGGTACATGCAACAGAGGCAAGTGAGAAAGCAAAGCTAATGACACCCAAAACCAAGAGGTATAACGTCAAAATTCAAGGTCATCAGGTAAACTCGTCTTAGACTAACTCTAGGCACCAAATTAAAATTCCTAGAAGAGGAAAGTGATCAAACGGACGTCACCGTTTGAATTAACGCATTACCTAGCATGTGTGTACGTATGTTTGCCCCCGTTGGCAGCATTCAGAGCGCGTGGAGACGTCCCGACCTACAAGCGTCGCAAACACAGCGGTGTGACATCGACTGCGATGACACCCCCTTGGCCTTTCGCTTCACACTGCGCCGTAGGTTAATACACAGGGGCTCATCTACTTACGAATGAGTTAGGTTCCAGAGGTCTGTCCTGAAGTCGATTTGTTCGTAAGTCCAACTTTACTCCTGTCGATTCCAAACGTGTTGTACGGCGTGTACACTAAACGCGGGGAATGGCTTTCAAAGTTGTATGATCTCCTGTAGACGCCACTGGCTCTTCACGTTCTGCAGATGTAGATGCCACCACCGCCATCTATTGCGCGGCGGTTGAACTTACCACTCTCGGTCCGAACAGACAAACTGGACGTACGGACCAGGTTTGTTCGTATCTCTGAAAGTTCGCAAGTCGAGTGTCCGTAAGTAGAGGAGTCCCTGTAGCCAAGAGGGGGCTCCGTGAGCGTCGTGAGCGGCGCCGTTCACGCGATGGACGCCCCCGCCCCGCGCGGCCGTGTCTCCTGCCCCAGGCCCTGGACTACGAGTCCACGAAGCAGGTGCTGCTGGTGGTGGTCGTGGAGAACGAGGAGCCGCTGTGGGGCGTGCAGCCCGGCGCGGCCTCCACCGCCACGGTCACCGTTACGGTGCGCGACCAGAACGAGCCGCCCGAGTTTTCTCCCGACGAGATCGAGGCCGCCGTCACCGAGGAGCAGCCACCGGGCGTGACGCTCGGCGCGTTCACCGCCACAGACCCGGACGTGGGCCAGCACCAGCAGATCCGGTACTGCGAGCTCACGAGCCCGTGCCGGTGTCACTAACTCGATGCCGAGCTCTCTGAGGGCAGGGAAGTACGTACGTACGTACTGTGTGTATGTAGAACTTGTACCTACGTGGCTTTACCGAAAAAACCAAAGAGTTTGGATTCCTGCAGTCAGGAAAGCTTCAAATCAAGATATGTAGAACTTTTTTGGCGCCGTACGCAGCTGACCGTGCAAGTCGGAGGTGCGGGGAAAGGATAGCGAACTAAACACAACACGCAGTTCTAAGGGAATGACTTGTCAATGTAGTATAGTGGTGTAGTGTATAGTAGAGCAGTGTATAGTGTAGTGTATAGTAGTGTCGTGTATAGTCGTGTAGTGTGTGTATGTTGAACTTCTTTCGTAGCGTACGTAGCCGACCGTGCTAATCGGAGGTGCGGGGGAAGGACAGCGAACTAAACACAACAACAACAACAATAAGCAGTTCTAAACAACTTGGGAGTGCAGTAGCTATCGAGTGTGCAGGCGGTGCAACTGCTTGGGGGCCCACAAAGCGGCGGGGCCCAGGTGACTACCCAGGGGAGGACTAAAGGGCTCCCATTTCATTCCCTGCACGAGGATTCATGCCAACCACACTCCGCTACTAAAGGCAGGGTTCGTGGATCACACGTAGCTTGTCGTGTGTGAAGTTGCCGTGGTACACAGGAGGTCGTGGGTTCGATCCCGACACCTGCTGCTGTATATTTGGAGTTTGCGTGTCTCTCTCCCCGTGGTCACGTGCTTTTTTCTCCGGGTCCTCCGGTTTTTCCACATTTAGAGTGTTTGGCTGCTACTATAAATTTCCACGCGATAAGCCCCACGCCGTTGAGCTGACATCAGTGATGGAAATAGCTCTACAGCTAAGTGGGGCTGTACTTGGTAAAGTCAAAATCATCTTGATTTGAAGCTTTCGTGACTGCAGGAATCCATACGCATTGGTTCTTTCGGTAAAGTCACGCTCAGAAATCTGCGATAGACGGGTCTGCAACACACCCGCTGTTTGCTGTAAAAGTAAAAAAAAAACTCTTTAGATATTTGGTGCTTTCGGTAAAGTAACGTAGATAGAAAATTATTAATGATAAAAATGATTTAAAAAATTATATCTACGTGACTTTACCGAAAGAACGTAGATAGAAAATTATTATTATAAATTTTCATACAAATTATTAATAATTTTCTATCTACGTGACTTTACCGAAAGCACCAAAAATAGTTTAAGATTTATTTTATACTTTTACAGCAAACAGCGGGTGTATTGCAGACCCGTCTTTCGCAGATTACTGAGCGTGACTTTGCCGAAAGAACCAAAGAGTATGGATTCCTGCAGTCACGAAAGCTTCAAATCAAGATGATTTTGACTTTACCAAGTACAGCCCCACTTAGCTGTAGAGCTCTTTTCCATCACCGATGTCAGCTCAACAACGTGGGGGCTTATCGCGTGGAAATTTATAGCGGCAGCCAAACACTCTAAACGCGTGGTGATGTTGGTTCTCAATGTGGAAAAACCGGAGGACCTGGAGAAAAATGCGCGTGACCGCAGAGAGAGAGAGACACGCAGACTCCAAATATACAGCAGCAGGTGTCGGGATCGAACCCACGACCTCCTGTATACCACGGCAACTTCACACACGACAAGCTACGTGTTAACCAAGCTACTCTCGCTAGTACGGTGAGGCATGGTTAATCAAACCCCATGACATAGCCAAGCACCGAAAGTGCATGCATCCAGCAGTTCAGAAGCAGAATGTATTTATACTGCAGGAGGATTCCTATGAGCTCTTTTTACAGATGTCCAGTAAGGGCACGGGGTAAGAACGTGACAACAACGAACGGTACAAAAAACACGATAGGAGTGCAAAGTACAAGAAAGGTAAACAAATCTCTCAAACACACACTGAATAAAACTACACCACCCCCTACCAATGGCTGCGAGACACGTACAGTACTTAGCCCAGCACCTTGCTAATGCGGGCCACGGGTAACATTTCTTTGCGCTCACCTAATCTCTCCTTTGGATCTGTGCAGGAGAGATTAGGTGAACTAACCCCCGAGATACCTGTGGAACTTAACATCACCTGCCCATTTCGTATGATTTGACTCGTGTCATAGCCCAAGTGGGGGGGTGGGGGGGGGATGGAGCAGTGGTGCAGTGGTTAGCGCACTGCACTGCAAAACCTGGCGACCTCGGTTCAATTCCAGGCCGCAGCTTGGCATTAATTTTTTTTCTCATCAAGGAGCATAAACCGCCATCGCGCAAACTCCGGCATCCTCGCAGCAGTGGCGGCTTTTGGCTCGCCATCGAACAGAGACGGTCGCCGCATCGCGTGGCGCTTTCGGATGCGCTTCTGCGGCCGTCTGGAACGCTCTTCCTTCCGATATTAAGGGAGCCGCTGGAGCTACGCACTTCGGATGAATCTAGATTGGCAAACTCATTTCTTTAGAACTGCTTTTTGTGATAACTTTGTTGTCCTACCCCCGCACCTCCGATTACCCTCACTAATTGGCTGTGTCGTGTGGTGGCGGGCTTAACGACACATTTATAAATTTACGCGATCTAATCCAAAAAAAAAACCTCTATTTATAAAAATGTTTTAACTTGGTTGTTCACTTAATTTGGCCAAACAAAGAGGCCAGACAATAAAAAATGAAAGCGCTCCGTTTCATTGACGGTCAAAGGAACACCCTTGGAAGGTCATGCGAGAGTCCCGCTCGTGAGTTTCTTCTGCCTGCGACGTGAAGCCGACATCACGTCAAAGTCGTATTCACGTAAGACCGGGGAAGGAAAACAAGTTATATTTAAAATGACGTCTCACCGCGTCCACCCTCTCACCCACCCTCCCCCCTCCCACGTCAGGTACAAAATGGGGGACGACCCGTCCGGGTGGCTCTCCATCAACCCCACGACGGGGGAGGTGCGAACGCGAGCGAGACTGGACCGCGAGGCGCGCGGCATCTACAACGGCACCTACACCGCCACCATCCTGGCCTTCGACAACGGTACCCGCCGCCGCCGTCGTCGTCGTCGTCATCGTCCCACCGTGACTCCTCGCTCGCTCGCTCGCGCGATTTCCTGCCGCTGTTAAAGAGTCTTGTGATTACGTGTATGGTATATGTATGAGGATAGCCATGTTCTATTCACTGCTGGATGAAGGCCATCACTCACGGCCTTACGATGCGTGGTCCAGCTTGCTCTTGCACGTGAGGGCGCCCCAGTGGCGAGATGTTGACTACCTCGCCTGGTGTGCAGGAGGTCATGGGTTCGTTCCCAACCCTGACGCTTGCTGCTGTATATTTGGAGTTTGCGTGTTCTCACCATTGGTCGCGTGGATTTTTATCCGGTTGCTCCGGTTTTTCCCTCCACATTTAGAATGAACATCACCACACGTTCAGAGTGTTTGGCTGCGATACATTTCCACACGAAGACAAACCACCACTTCGTTGACCTCTCATTTGTGATAGCCCAGTCGCTCCTGACAAAGAGCTACATAGCTCAGTGGGCATTGCTTGGTAAACATTTTTTTTAATAGTAAAATTTTTCAAAAGCTGTCCATCGTGCCCTCGCTAGCCTATTCATGTCATGAATTTGAGCCCAAACTGTATTTAATAATTTCCCTACAGATATGCATGGGATGATGCCACAGTGGTGTAATGGTTAGCACACGGCTCGATTTGAACTTTCGGCCCTGCAGTTGAAACGGCAAGTTTCCTTAATCATCCTCACCCACCCCCTCTTATCTGTCCAGAGGTTATAAACTGGCAAGATCGCAGTCCGTCCGATTGACAGGGCACCTCTGGCAGAATGTGGGAAATTCCCAGCTCATTTCTTGACGGCTGCTTTTTCACGTTAAGTTTGTTGTCCTTCCACCCCGCCCCGCACCTCCAATGAGCACGATTCGCTACGTAGGGTGCGAAAGAAGTTCAACGCAGCGTACATATTCCCAGTGTGGTAGAGTCGACCAAACATCTTCTCGAGGAGGGAGACTCTCTCGAGGCTATGTAGGTACTCCTCTACTTATGAATGAGTTAGGTTCACAGAGTCAAATTGTTCCTAAGTCCCACCTTTACTCCTCTCGATTCCAAACGTGTTGTGCGGCATGTACAATAAACACGGGGAATTGCTCTTCTTACTACCACCCTCCACACTCTCACCACTCTTACGCGTTTGAGACATGATGGAGGTTGATAATGTCCATGAAAAACACACAGAGAACGTCGTAGTGACCCGCACAGCGACAACACAACAACAACAGACAGTGGCGGCGGCCCAGGCAGAAATGCTGGGAATGCTGGGTAATGACACTGCGCGGCGGTTGAACTCACGACTCCTCGGTCCAAACAGGCAACTGGACATACGGACCAGGTTTGTTCGTATCTCTGAAAGTTCGTAAGTCGGATTTATGTGAGTAGAGCAGTCCCTGTATCTAGTGGGGGGCCCTTCTGCCATCAGTGGCGTGAGCGAGCGATTGCAGGGCTGCACCCAGATTCTGTTATCTGGCCATGCGCGTACCCTCCGTCGTGTTCGCCTCTCGGCGTCGACCGACCCACGTGACACTCGTGTTCCCCGTAGGCGTTCCCCCGCAGACGGGGACGGCCACCATCCTCCTGCGGGTCACGGACGTCAACGACCACCAGCCCCGGGTGAAGCTGCCCTACAGCCACAGGGTGTGCGAGGACCTCGCGTGGCAGGGCATCAACGTGACGGTACTGGATGAAGACGAGGCGCCCAACGCCGGGCCTTTCACCTTCTCCCTGCCCGAGGAGCCGCCTGAGATCCGCAACAACTGGAAAATCCTCTACCAGACAGGTAGGAAACGATCTGACGCCCTCTCACCGTGAGTCGCTTGGCTGTGTCGTCGCCCTCCGAAGTGTCGGCAATGCATCCGTGTTGTTTGCTTGACAAGCCCCGCAATCTGCTGTGCGGTCCGCTTAATCAAGTCCTGCTGGAAAGCCATTGGTCTAAAACAGGGGTGGGGAACGTCCGACCCGCGGGCCGTATGAGGCCCGCAAAATCATTTGGTCTGGCCCTGACAAGGCAACCGCAGGCGGGACTCGAAATTCAATAAATCTAGGAGCAAACCTGGAAAATCAGTTGCGAGTAGCAACATCATCATTACCAGCTAACATCACACGCCTCGCCAAAGAGATTAGGGGTGAGTTAATTAAATGTTTGACCAAATATAACAGGCTAATTTTTAAGTTGATAATTTTGTATGGCCCGCGAATGATGTGATAAATATCCAAATGGCCCTTGGCAGAAAAAAGGTTTCCCACCCCTGATTCTAAAAGGTCTAAAAGATCCAAATAACTGATAAGCCTCCACGTTATTTGATTTTAACGTGGGGAAAACAGACCGTCCTACAATGCACCCACCTCAAATGCATATGAATAGATGTTTGCAATATCACCAATTTAAAAAAAAAGTTATTTTACCAAGTTGATCCGAATGTGCTGTCAGTGGCATGCCATGGGACGAAATATCCATATCTGTCCCTCAAAGAGCGGTGTAGCCCTTTGTGTTAAAGAGCGGCCCGCACAAGTGGTGATAACAGAGCTACCTCTGAGATCCATTCAGGTGGCCCTCTATTCCGCAAGGCGGGGGCAACGCACCCTGCCACTTAAGAGTCATGTTCATCACGTGACAGCGATGTTTTTAATTCTCAGTGCTGGAAACCGTCCATGTGAAATGCTAAATCTCATTGAACGTGGGTTATTTTTGTTTGTGTACAGTCACTTGTGACCGGGCTGAGACACGTAAACTCGCTGCGCTTGAGAACCCGGTTTTTTAAGGATAAGCGTTTGCATTTTTCGGGTGCTTAAATTCCTCGCCGGCATGTCAAAGTGCCTCCTCGCATCACAGAGAAGCATCGCGGGATGCAAATCGAATTTAGGTCGTAAGCGACTGAACGACGTAGACAACGTGTCAACGGAGCGCACTGCAAGCGCGGGGCCGGCCGACACCTGGATTCAAACCCGGGCTGTCCCAGTGGTGCTGGCTCCGCGCCCTGACCCTCTGATCCACGGGGCGGCTAACCTTGTCACATTGACCGCGGTCATTCCCACGTGCGCCCGTCCGTTCGTGCCGCACAGGGGAGGTGCTGGTGTTGGCTCCGCACCCGGACCGCGTCCAGCCCGGACACTACAGCGTCCCCGTGCTGCTCGCGGACAAGCCGGGCCTGCGGTCCGAGCAGGTGGTCGAGGTCACGATTTGCTACTGCGACGACAAACTCACGTGCCCCGCGGCCCTGGGTGGCATCGGACTCGGCCTCGCTGCTCTGCTCATCATTATTTTCTGCCTCCTCATACTGCTGCTGCTCTTCCTAGGTACGGCATTCCGCGTCGGTCGTCTAAACCGGGGCCGTGTGCATTATACACCTCCGATTAGCACGGTTCGCCACGTAGGGTGCGAAAGAAGTTCAACTCACATGCACACATACAGTCGGTGTGGTGACGTTGGGATGATGCTGTGGGATTACGGTTTGCACATCGGACTCCTCACATCTGTCTGCCGGTGTGCACCCAGCACTACGGATTACGGTTATTCGATCGGTGCGTTGCGTTGAGGTGGGATAAAGTGTGGTGGGACACTCCCACCTCTTCCCAAGACGTTTGTCCAGTGTGGACGAGTAGGCCAAACACCCTCGAGTTAGAGGGGCTCTCTGTAGAGTTCGAGAGAGTGGCTCAAGTGGAGGCGCTTCGAGCAGCAGTGGTGCTCGCAGAGCAATTGCAGGGCTGCCCCCTACGCACCTCGTGCACCTTACGTGAGTGCATGGGGCCCGTGACCAACCCGCACTGACCGGTGCGGTGAAGTATGGTCAAACCATCCTGATGACCGACACGACATGGGGAGGGAGGGCCTTCGTCCAGCACTGGATTGACAAAAGGGCCATAAATGGTAAATGACGAGGCAGTGCATTGTTACGGGCCTTGTGGGTAGGCATTGTCTCCACGTGTAGTTCCCGTATGCCCCTGACCAGCGACGGCTTAACCCGGACGCAGTCACTGCGTACACACTGCCCAGTGTGTCTATGGGACACTTTTGCCAGTATCAAAAATTCCGAAAAATAAGGATAGTTTTTACCATTTCTGGCAATAGAACAGTTGATAAGATCAGTTTAACACGTAGCAGGCTTTCGCGACCAATATTATTAATAATAAAGGTTTTTGAGTTAGATCGCGTTATTTATAAATGTGTCGGAACCCTCCACCCGACACGGCCAAACAGTAAAAATGTGTAACTTTTACAAAGGACAAATACTTCACTACTTTAGCCCACCTGTTGAAGTAGTGAACTATTTGCCCTTTGTAAAAGTGACACATTTTTTACTGTTTGGCCATGTCGGGTGGTGAAGGGTTACGACACATTTGAAAATAACGCGATCTAACCCAAAAACCTTTATTATGAAGGTGATAAGATGTTAAAACACCACATAGACACCTATTGCAAGGCATCAAGTCTGCATTAACCACACACAGTACAAACATGCTCTGATAATATTTGCATTGTCTTTGAAGCTTATTGGCCTACACCAGAGGCAGACAGCCTTCTTTATGGCCTCGCCTCACCAGTGTTCTACCCGCGCTATGAGTGTCTCCGATACGTACATTGTCTTTGTCCTATAATAATAGGGGTTTTCTCCTTTTTTCTGGCAACAAAACTGAAACCTTTTTACAAGGATTCATGTCTGCATTAACCACAATACTTGCAGTCAAAATGTAAACAAAAAACACACTCTGATAGTATATGCATTGTCCTTGAAACTGATTGGTCCACACCAGAGACGGCTCTCATTTGAGCCTCGTCTCAATTGGTGCCCGACCAGATGACGCCAAAAGGCGTACACAGCTCAAAGACAATGCACTATCAAAGTAACGAGGGCTTGGGGTAAGCATCTACATCATTAGACCTCCTTTGCCAGTACCAAAATATAATAATAGGGTTTTTCCCCTTTTTTCTGGAAAAAAAAAAGGGGAAAACAAGTTTTTGTGCTGTTTGCCTTTGGCGTTCTCTGGGCTGACACTGGTGAGACTAGGCCATAAAGATGGCCGTTTGTGGTTAATGCAGACTGCCCATTGTGTATATTGCGACACATCTCACAACTCGTATATCATTACGGTGAAATATTAACAAGTTTTAGGGAGTATCTTCTGATTTAAAGGCTAGTGTATTTTTTTCAGGCTTTCGTTGTAAAGTTTATGGGAGGTGGAGCGGTGCGGCACTGTGGTTAGAACACTGCAACAGCAGCTATAAACCCCGGCCAACCTGAGTTCAATTCTGGGCCACTGCTGGTGTCAGTGGCGTTTGCTCATATCTGAAACCAGCCCAGGGCGGCCTCCTCCTTCACCGACCCACACCCTACGGTTCGGTCACATCGACGCGGCACAGCGCGGAGGTCTTCATCCAGCAGTGGACTGATGGCAAAGGGCCCCACATTGATTAGGTATAGCCCTGTGAGCCATTTGGCTCTTGAATCGGGTGCAACCGCAACAACCAAAAAAACTAAAACATGAACAAGAAACCATCTTAAAGTGACTGTGCGCAAACAGAAAAATCCAGGAAAAAACTGCAAAGTCTTCCATTAACATGATGGTTGACTTAAACACACCTGCCTGTAGAAAGAGTGACGCTGAGTTGCTCCGGCTGAGTCAACTGTGCGAGCACTCAAACAACGTCTGCCCCTTTCCGTGTGAAATCCTTGAACCCAGCCCGGTAGTGGCGGAGGAGGTGCGAGGAGGTGGTTTAGGGGGCCTAACCCCACCACCCCCCCCCCCCCTTCAATCATTTTCTGTTAGTCAAAGTCAAACAGATATTGCTTCCAAAATGAGTTCAGTTAAGCCACGGGCGTCGTAGTCTGTCCTCGTACGTATGGGGATTTGTCTTCGGGGCCGTCCATAAATGACGTCACGCACCTAGGGGGGGGAGGGGGGGGGTCAGACATTTGTGACGATGTGTGACGAAGGGGGGGGGGTTGAGAAATGTGACGTCACATCAAAATGCGAAACTTTAAATAAATATAGACAACACGTTCTACTTAATTAAATAGACTTTTTAATAAATGTTTTCTAGTACAACATCAGAGTGCAGCGCACATTAAATACGCACTACAATGACAATAGTTTTGAGCGATTTGAAGCATGTTTTATTTTTTTGGGGGGGGGCAGAGCTTTGTGACGTCATATTTGAGGAGGGGGGGTCTGACTTTTTGTGACGCCGTGTGACGAGGGGGGGGGGGCAAAAATCGTCCAAAATCGCGTGACGTCATTTATGGACGGCCCCTTATGTTACCAGGTGAAGCCCCACTGAGCTGTGTAGCTCTTATTCGGAAGCGTCCTGGCCATCACAATGATAACTCAACGAAGTGGCGGCTTCTAATCGCAGTGCGAGTTTATAGCAGCAGCCAAACGCTCTAAACGCGAATTGATGTCGATTCTAAATGAACCTATTGGCGCTAAACCGGATGGTGCGCAGTATAACATTTTTGTTTCACCATTTTTCACTGTAATTATTGAATTTCCCACGATTCGCAACCCTGGTCAGACAATCTTACGGGGGGGTGGTGGCTTGTCAAAATCAGTTCTCGTGATGTTGAATCAGTCGGAAAATTAATGTTTGTAAAAAAAAGTAAATTCATACTGTTTTTTTTTTTGAGGACCGTATGTTATGCTGCATCGGTTGTACCGCCAATAATTTTAAATGTCTACGGAAGTTTCGTGCAACCACGGGGAGAGGGAGAGGGACACGCAAATTCCACATACACAGCAGGCGTCAGGATCAGGATTGAACCCACGACCTCTTGGCTCCTGGGCGAGGTAGTTAACATCTCGCCACCGCGACCAGCGGACGAACGCACGGTTGGGCAAAGGCAGATCGCGTCGTCATGGATTCCGTTTCAGCGTTTCACGTTTGCTGAAAGCGCGTTGACCGTTCCGGCTGGCGTGCCACTCAACGTTGTGTCTGCCCCGTCCCTTTGAACAAGGTCTGCCTTTGAACAAGGTTAGTCCAGCAGCTTTGACAAATACAAAATAAATATCATTGACTTCACTGGGGTGGAATTTGAAACATTTTGAGAACCTGGTATTTTCAGTTTGTAATCGGTCCACGGATGTCATCGTCTTGAAAAAAAATTGAAACGGAAGACGACGGAGCGTGATTTTTAACCCGAGTGATTCGTTGCTGTTTTCAGTGGAGTGGAAAAGTCGGTGGCGGGGGTGGTGGTGGTGGTGGGTTCGTTAAAACATCGCAACGCTGGGCAGCCAACGTTGAGCCCAGCGTTCCGACTCCACGTTCGCTGGGGTTTGACCTCGAAGGCAGAGAGCGAGCGAGAGCTGCCCATGTGTTCTTTTGCGTGGCGTGTCAGAATGCACTGTCCTGTCTGTCAACGCGCTAAATAGTTGGGAGCGCAAGCGAGGTCTTGCGAAACTAAAGCAAACACCGAGCCGTGATGCGGCTGGCAGTGTGGGCGTGCGACTTATTTGAACTGTTGGTTAGAAACTTTCTGGTTTGCCCCGTGTATAGTGGCTAGACTCTGGCTTTATACTGGTAGGAACCTCCTGGTTACACCAGCCCACAGGAGATTATTGTGTCCGTCGTGCAGAGAGGGGCTAGGTGGGGAGGGTGGGGAGTGGCTGGGTGGGGAGGGTGGGGGGGGGCTGGGTGGGGAGGGTGGGGCTAGATGGGGAGGGGAGGGTGGGGAGGGGCTGGGTGGGGTGTGGGAGGGGTGGGGCTGGGTGGGGAGGGACTGGTCACCCCGTGGTGCCCTTATAAAACTCAACGTTTAACCTACTCACGCCGGCTTGTGCCCGCCCTCACAGTCGGGCATATTTGCGGAATACACCACGCCGCCGTTGACCCTGACCATTGACCGAGCAACCCAACGTTCCTACCAGCTCTCTCCGCAGGAATGTGTTGGGTGGTAGTGACAGGAATGACGTACGTACGTGTGTTGAACTTTTTTCCAACCGTACGTAGGCCAACCGTGCTAATCGGAGGCGCTTGCCAGGTACAACAAGTGCACGTTTAGCTGCTGTGACTCTTATAAGCGTGCCTCCATGTGTCAGTTCAGGTTTATTATTTCCCTGTGAGCCATGAAGCTCTTAAGTGCTATACCTAATAACTGAACTGAACGAAGTGCAACTTTTCATCAACTAAACACCAGACACCGTTTCCGTGACAGACGTAACACGTCAGAGAAAAATAAATGAATAAAAAAATGGAAGAAATAAAAAAAATGTATATAAAAATTAATCTTAAAAAAGTTTTAGCCAATTAAGGAATAAAAAAGTGCAAGATTAGGCATAGTAAGTGCCAGTGGTAAAACGGACCGTTTCCCAAGAAACACAAATTTTTTATCTCCAATAAAAATGTCAATATATATAAAATACAAATGCGCCATTAATCAATGACGACATTGCAGCGAGGAAAACGACAGCGTCGTTAAAAAAAAAGAGAGAGAGTAGAGCAAACAAGGCTGAAAGCCGACAAAAGAGGTCACTAACGGGCAAGCGATGTCCAAACATCGCCGAGTTATTTAAACAGCGGCAGCAGCTCGGCAGGAGCTCGCTGGAAAGCAGAGATTTCAAGTGACCCCAGCGAAGGCAGTGAATGTCGATCTCATCTTGCGTGCACGTGTTGAGGATCCACTCGCAGCACATACGATGGCTCTTGCCCTCGGCCGCAGAAGCGCATCCGAAAGCGTAACGCGATGCAGTGACCGTCTTTGTTTGATGGCGAGCCGAAAGCCGTTGTTGCTGCGAGGATGACCGAAATTCTCGTGATGATTAATGGGTGATCTTCCCTGGGGCCAGACCCTACTCTGCCTGCCCTGCTACCCCAACCCAGCAACCTTCTGTGCCCCACCAATAAATATTTTTTTAAAACGTAACTATATTTATTGAACCAGGTATGACCCCACTGAGCTATGTAGCTCGTTTTCAGAAGCGACCGGCTATCACAAGTGACAGCTCAACAAAGTGGCTTATCATCGCACGGAAATTCATAGCGGATACATACTCTGAGCGCGTGATGTTGATTATAAATGTGTAGGGAACAAACCCGGAGGACCCGGAGATAAATCCACGCGACCACAGGGAGAACATGCAAACTCCAAATATACAGCAGCAGGCGTCAGCGTTGGGATCGAACCCACGAATTCCTGTATACCAGGCGAGGTAGTTAACATCTCCCAGCCACCGTGATGATGATGATGAGAGAGACAAGCAAACTCCAAATATACAGCAGGTGTCAGCGTTGGGATCGAACCCACAAACTCCTGTATACCAGGCGAGGTAGTTAACATCTCCCAGCCACCGTGATGATGATGATGAGAGAGACAAGCAAACTCCAAATATACAGCAGCAGGCGTCAGCGTTGGGATCGAACCCACAAACTCCTGTGTACCAGGCGAGTTAGTTCACATCTCCTAGCCACCGCATAGAGCCCCACCTATACATATAGTACCACACCTATGGAAATATTTACCCACCGACCAATAATGATGACCATAAAGAGGTATGGTATATATGTGCAAGGCATGCCACAAAAGTAATGCCTCCAATACGTTTTTTTGCCGATAATATGTATTGAGCGAATGCAGCGTCTTAGTTATCATTTCACGGGAATGTCACTGACACACCGAGCTCTTGGTCAACACAATTGTCTCCACCACCCTTTCCTCATGCACCTCTGCCAACAGTGGCAGATCCAAAGCGGGAGGGAGGGAGGGACGGGGTGTGGGCACAACGGGGGCCTTGCTTAGAGAGTTTGAAACTTCAAGAAACGGCCCTTCTTGGGAAGTTCCAAGATCCGCCTCCGTGGAACCAGGGTCGGCATTCCGTCACGGTGAATTGATCCATCGGCAGCATCGCACGGCCCTCTGCGAACCTCATCCTGCGTCGCAGCGTCATTTTCTGAATGTTTGACCACGCTTTGATCGTCCTTCAAAGTACAGGACTGAATGGATGAGAATGCGAACGGGCGAGGTCTGGGTTGTACGGGGGGAGAGAATCGGGTGACGGGGCAGTCGACGCGAGCTCATGTTTTCAGGCTTGCCTGTGGCCTGGCATCGCCGTGGTCCGGCGCTGCCACGGCCTGGCTTCGTCAGGAGGGCCGCCGCCATCTGACAAATGCTCACGGCATATCTAGAGATCAACATTCTTAAAACCGGTGCTTGTTAACCTTTACTGCAGCCTGCACCACTTTGATTCTCGATCGTTACAAAAATGTACAATGTTAATAAACACACGGGGTTCGATGAAACGACGTAAGTCGTTACTGATGTGCCCGTGCTTAATTTGTGTTTTCGGTTTTTTTTTCTTCGAAAAAAATCTGGCCCCGTCTCGCACCTCCAGAAAGGGCATCTCGCACTCCCAGGCGCTGCGTGCGGCCCAGGCTAAGAACCACCGTCTTAAACATTCTAATAAAAAATACATCATTTTTTATAACAAAACTAAAAAATAAGCCGGTCTGTCGAGAAGACAGAGTCTGAATGAGGACGGCTGCTTGCGTTGTTGCAGAAACGTCGTGAGAATTATTTTATTATGTTTTATTTTTATTATTTTACTATTTCCATTCTACATAACTTTACCGAAAGAACCAAGAAGACGAATCCCTGCATTCACGAAAGCTTTAAATCGAAAAATAAAAAATAAGCATTACTCTTTCGGCCATCCGCAATAATAACTGAGGGGCGCAGATTGCCGTGGTGTAGTTGTCACACCACCCCACCACACCGGCCTTGACAGGCACTCGCTCACAGGAACTTGCCCCAAAGTTCTGTCGAAAGGCTACGCGAGAGATCATCCTTCTTCTTGGTTCTTTCGGTAAAGTCACGTAGAAGGGAAATAATAAAATAATAAAAATAAAACATAATAAAATAATTCTCACGACGTTTCGGCCACAACGCAAGCAGCCGTCCTCAGGTGAAGAACAGGTCTGTCGGGAAGACAGACTCTGGAATGTCTATTTCAGACGCTGTTGGGAAGACAGCGTCTATTTCAGACGCTGTCTTCCCGACAGACCTGTTCTTCACCTGAGGACGGCTGCTTTCGTTGTGGCCGAAACGTCGTGAGAATTATTCTATTATGTTTCATTTTTATTATTTTATTATTTCCCTTCTACGTGACTTTACCGAAAGAACCAAGAAGATGAATCCCTGCAGTCACGAAAGCTTTAAATAGAGATCATCCTTGTGACTGGTCTGCCTTAACTCTCTCCGTCGTGTCTCCCCCAGCGATGCTGTGCTGCCTATGGTGCTACCCACACGGCTGCTGCGGCTACGTGAGGTCAGGGGGCGCCCTGTACGTTGTGCACGACCAGGGGAACTTTGGCGGGGTTCAGGCCTACAACTACGAAGGCGGAGGGGAAGAGGATATGGTAAGATGCTCACTCGTGCGTCCATCTGTCTAGATGTATGCATGCATGCATGTTGAACTTCGTTCACACCGTACGTAGCCAACCGTGCTAATCGAAGGTGCGGGGGAAGGGCAGCAGACTAAACACACACACACGAAATAATATAAGATACATTAGGGTTCTTCTCTATATGGGCGCCGGCGGTATGCAAGACGTCATGGGTTCGATCCCGACCCTGACGCCTCTGTATTTGAAGTTTGCATGTTTTCTCTCTCTCCCCATGATCACGTGGATTTTTCTACAGGTCCTCCACATTTAGAAACATGCGTTTAGCATATTTGGTTGTGATAAAATGTCCACGTGACAAGCCACTTTGTTGAGCTATCATTTGTGGCCAGGTCGCTTCTGAAAAAAAGCTACATAGCTCAGTGGGGCCTTACCTGGTAAAAATAAATTATATTTCAGGTTATTTTCTTCTTCTTTCCATGATATGTAACTCGATTTTTAGTTTAGAAAATGGAAAAGCGAAATTTAAGTTTTTTTTTACTTTTGGTGTAAAAGTCACCAGATGACAGAGAATCTTATTCTCACTCTGTTCGTATTTATTAATAATATAAAGTTACACTCATAAAAGCGCGTTTCACCCAGACGTGGCAAGGCACTGCACAGAGCTAAAAGCAAGCAAGTAAATCAAGTTCATTTATTAGGTATAGCCCTGTGAGCCATTCGGCTCTTGAATCGGGTGCAACCGCAACAAACAAAAAATAACTCACGCAATTCTAAAACCTAAAATAAGCAACGCAGGCTCATGATTTAACCACGGATACAAATACACCCCACACTCCCAAAACACGTAACAACATTAACAAGGAGAAAAGGCCTTTAAGAAAAAAAATGTCTTAAGGTGGGAGCTCTAAAGCTCGTGCCATCGCTGCAGTGAACGCCGTGTGGGACCCTGACATTGCGCCGGGCACATTTTGCAGGGGATGAGAATGAACCTGCTGGCAATCGACGCTCAGGGGAAGAACGGCTCGAGCTGGGCCGGCGCCGAGAACGCCAAAGGCGCCGCCTACACCAAGTCCACCACCCTGCGCGCCAGTTCGGTGGCGGAGTCCTCTCGCGCCGCCGCCGCAGCGGAGGCGGCCGCCGCCGCAGCGGAGGCGGCCGCCGCCGCTTCTCACATTCGCGAGGTTAAAGAGTCCATCACGACGACCTCCAGCCACACGACTTCCAGCGCGGCGCACGATAGCGCCGGCACGCAGGCGCGCGGCGGACGGTTCGCCGGCTTGGCGCACGGCGCGGCGGTCGGCGGGAGCGACGCCTGGGCAGGGGCCGGCGGCGGCGGCGTTGGCGTCAGCCACGTGGCGACGTTTACGGAGGTGGGCAGCAGCAGCAGCAGCAGTGGCCGGGGCAACGCGATGGACTCGCGAGTGAACGGGGCGTTCGGTGTGCCGGCGGGCGGAGCGACAGGGGGCACCGTTCTGGAGACCGACGGCCGCGTTTACCACGGGAGGATTTCGACCCTCGGCTACCCGAGGGCGAGCGGCTACGGCGGTCAAGTGATCGGCCAAGAGTCCGTCAGCATGGGGAGGGGCTTCACCCGCAGGGAAGTACCTCCACCCGCCGCCGTCGCAGGACCCGTCTGGCCGCAGCATCACACCCTCCCCAAGCTCGTGGGCATGAAGCCGACGGCGGACGTGAGGAAGTTCGTTGCGCAGGTGAGAGCTCGCGTTGACTTTCATCTCGTCCGTCGTCCGTCAGCTTTGGGTGAACCCCGAGCTGGTCGCGTCACAATGCCACAGCCTGGGATGCAAGCGCACCTGCGTTACCCAATCCGAGTTAAATGTGATGTTTGTGCTAACCTTGGGTGCGTTATCCAGATTCGTGGATGATGTTGTACGGACTGCGCAGGTTTTCCCGGGTGTGCTGTATCGCTGTGTGACGCGTTTTAGGGCTGTCACGGCGTGGTGTCTGACGAAGCTCTGAGCACTCGGAGGAAAACGGTGGACAATACGCACGTGGTCCAACTCGTGTTTTATAGTTGTTAATTTTATGATAGCTTTCGGGATGCTTGAACCAAGTTGCGGTGGCGAGATGTTATCTTCCTTGCCTGGTACGCAGGTCATGGGTTCGATCCTGACCCTGATAAATGCCCGTTTTATATTTGGAATTTGCATGTTGCCCTCCACGTTTGGAAAACGTGCCTTTAGATTATTTTGCTGCTGCTGCTATAAATTTCCACGTAGTGATGATGTCAACCACATGTGTGGCCAGGTCGCCTCTGAAAACAAGCTAATAGCTCGGCGGGCTTTACCCGGCGAAGTCAAACTTCAACGCGTCTGCTCAAATGAGCTTGGAGCGGCGCGCATCTATCCTGCCAACCTTGAGGCAGTGGTGGAAAGTTGAAATACCCATGGCAGGTGCCATTGACCCTTACTCTTTGGTTCTTTCGGTAAAGTCACGTAGGTGAAAATAAAAAATAAGAATAAAAAATAAAATAATTAAATGAAATCACGTTTCGATTGCAACACAAGCAATCATCATCAGGTGTGAAAATCACAGCTAGAAATGTGTTACTAAAGTGAAATAGTAAAAATTAGTAAAACATTTCTAGCTGTGATTTTGACACCCGATGATGATTACTTGTGTTGCGATCGAAACGTCGTGATTTAATTTAGTTATTTCAATTTTTTATTTTTATTCTTATTTTTTATTTTCACCTACGTCACTTCACCGAAAGAGCCATTGACCCTCACCACGGGTCACACAATGGCGGGCTGCGTGCGGGTCCGGCCACACCACCCTCCTACGCGCCGTGCCACCCATAACCGGTGCTCAACTACGGGCACATGACCATGTCGGCTGCAAGGCTCAACACGGAGGGGGATCTCTCTCTGTGTGTGCGCGTGCAGGCTCTGGAGTGGGCGGATAAAGACCCCACGGTGCCCCCGTTTGACGGGCTGCTCGTGTTTTGCCACGAGGGCAACCGTGAGGACGACCACTCGTTCAGCCCGTGCGTCAGCACGGCCAACTTGGCGGAACAGGTGGCGCAGTTCCGGCCCATCTCCAACCCGCCGCCCGGCTCCTGTGGCTCCCGCGGCTCCCCGATCTCGCGGGCTGCCACCCCTTCAGCCGCTTCTCCCAGCATGCAACTCCCCTAGCCCTCCTATCTCCCCCACCACCAACTCATCCAGCTCAGATACCCCTAGCTCAGTGTTTAGCCCGTGGACCACCCCAGCCACTGATCCCTGGCGGCAAAATGCATTCGCTTATCTCTAAATGGCAGGAATACAAAGTGATTCATATTACTGAAACATAACATATTTTTTTTTACATGCAGTTATAATGTTTTAGGGGGGGGGGTGCATTTAGATATTAGGGTTAAAGTAGTTTATTCAGGGTAGTTTACCTCGCGTCATTCAATAAATAGTTTTATATTATGAATTAACGTCAAAAACTTTACTTCCGTGGACCATCTGGAGGAGCGTCCCGGGCCACTCACGCTGATGGCCCGGGGACCGCACTTTGAGAACCACTGCTCTAGCGCCTTCTCCAAGCTCCCTCCACCATCTCCAAGCTCACCACCCCAGCCACTGAGCTTCCAGCTCCTTCCCGACCAGCTCCTCGCTCTCCCCTAGCTCCTTTCTTGCTTCCAATTGCCCCACATCCCCCCCCACCGATCGCTGTTTTTATACACACATTTTCTAAACGGAGAGTGAGTAGCGCACTAGAATAGTTTGGGTGACGGGTGTGTAATACGACGTCAAGTTAATCTGCACGAGGCGTCGTCGGCAAATGGGCGATTGTGACTGCTTCCGACGCTGTGTGGCGGGTTGGTGTGGTGAAGGTGTTTTTGGTCAGGAGGTTTTACAGTTGAGGTTTGGGACGTTTTTATTTGACCCTGAACCGAAACAAAGTCGAAGTCTATTCCCATGAACCAATTTTTCTGGTTCGAAACACACGTGTCCTTGCCCGCACTTCCGATTAGCATGGTTGGCTATGTACGATTATTTCTCTACCGACAGCGCGTGTGGTGTGCAAGTATTACAAAGATAAAGTCATGCGCATGGAATGTAAAAAAACTCCAATGCCAGGATAATGTTATTAATGCATTAGAGGTCAGATCGTCACACTTTTGACACCACTATCCAGTATCTGTTCCATGACAATTTACAAATTATATTTAACGATCATTAAAAAAGAATCACAAATACAAGTAGTAACAAAGGTCACAGTGAGGGATTAACTCAGCCCATCATCATCCCTCCTGAAAGTTGTAATAAGTATAACCCGTAAAAACAAAGTTTTTCACTATAAATCCTTTATATGCGTGGCGGCTAGAGTCCTCTCATCCTCTGGCTTGAGATGGCTGCCACCTATGGGTCAGATGATTGTCTGCCAGTATTAAGCAATTGGTAATTAAATATTTAATTTGTTTTCCCTAAACAGTGTAAAATTTTAGAAAAAAAATTTCACGAACATTACTTGTCTCGCACAACGAGTCTGTGTGCCAAATGTCAGCTCGATTGGATCACGGGAAGTGGGTTAAAAAACGACCGAAATATTTGCACGGTCGTAAGCAAGCAAGCAAGCACGCAAGCAAGCGAATTTAATATAAAGGATTAAAAATGGAGTACCGCCGAATTGTAGCGCGCGTGTTCAGTTCCTGAACATGGGAGCACAATTCTAGATTTGAAGCTTTCGTGACTGCAAGGATTCATACTCTTAAGTTTTTTCGGTAAAGTCACGTAGGTAAAACATTTTTTTAATAAAAGTAAAATAAAAATCTTTGCAGTGGCATTTACAGCGAGCGTGCTGTGACGGTTCCACCTGAAGACGGAAGCTTGTGTTGCCTCCGAAACGTCGTGATTTTTATTTTACTTTAATTTAAAAAAAAATTTACCTACGTGACTTTACCGAAAAAACCTAAGAGTATGGGAGCACAACCTAGAAAACCTACCGCGGTAGTTATCACCACCAAGGTAGTTGTCCTCGGGTTAAAGTGAACTCACTGTGGGAATGTGAAACTTCTACCGCTTGCTCAGGGTCGTACATGCAAATTAGCATTAGCCCCACGCTCGTTTGAGCAGTGGGATTTCTTCCTCGATTTATTGACATAGGGACCGGGCGTGGCCATTTGGGGCTGGTTAATGGTTTGCAGAAAAGACCCCGAGTGGAATTTTTCCCCTTGGTTTGTCTTTGCCATCTGTACAAAGGGGGGGGGGGGACATTGATACGTTTTTTTTCTTCTGGAAGAAAGCCACTTTGCCTAAACTTGAGCCGAGGAATTTGTTTAACAAAAAAACCTCTTTGCAGTGGCATTTACAAATAAAAACTTCTGTTGAGACGTGGTTGGATTGAAGCGCTGGTCTGGTCGTATCAGAGGACGCGTATCCTCATCCCTTGCCAAGGACCCCAACTTCTCGACCAAACGCTGCAGCGAAACTAGCGCGGTGCACAATTGACTTCCCAGCCAGGGCGCTGGAATAAATCAAAATGAAAACCTCAAAATTTTATCAGGATAATATTTAATATTTTTAAAACTCGTGTCAGTAAGTATTTTTTTACATTTTCTCTTCAAATATACGCTGGAATTTTCATCTCATGGCTCGAGTGTGATATCTTGAATTATGTGCGTGTGTCATTAGACCTCCTTTGTCAGTACCAAAATATAATAATAGGGGTTTTTCCCCTTTTTTCTGGCAACAAAACTGAAACCTTTTTACAAGGAATCATGTGTGCATTGACCACAATACTTGTGGTCAAAATGCAAACAAAAAACACACTCTGACAATATATGTATTGTCCTTGAAACTGATTGGTCCACACCAGAGACGGCTTTCTTTTGAGCCTCGTCTCAAATGGTGCTAGACCAGAGGACGCCAAAAGGCGTACACAGCTCAAAGACAATGCTTACCCCGAGCCCTCGTTACTTTGATAGTGCATTGTCTTTGAGCTGTAGCACCAATTGAGACGAGGCTCAAAAGCTGTCTCTGGTGTGGACCAATCAGTTTCAAGGACAATGCATATATTATCAGTTTTTTGTTTACATTTTGACCACAAGTATTGTGGTTAATGCACACATGCTTCCTTGTAAAAAGGTTTCAGTTTTGTTGCCAGAAAAAAGGGGAAAACCCCTATTATTATTTTTATGTGCGTGTGCTTAAGGAGCGGGGGTGTGGAACTTATAGCCCCCAGGCTGTCCGCTGGCCACACGAGGCCTACCGCTTTTATCCATCGCTACAAGTATCTTCGCTGCGCTCATTCAATCTGCCAACACTTCTTTTCCAATTTTAGCATGCACACTCACTTCTGTCTCTGCAAGGGCCTCCTTGCGGCGTGACACAAGCGAGGGCGCTGCGTGTGTGAATGCGGGACCCGCCAAAGGTATTTTAAAATTCTCTTCGGTCCTCGGCGAGGAGAAAAGGTTCCCCATCAACTAAGAGAGAAATTACCCATCACGAGCTTATACTCGAACAAGAGCCGTCACAAAGGCTCGTGGGATTGGGGCATATTGCAACCATGGTCAAGCAAACCAACTTCTTCACAGCGACTATAGCCACCCTGCAAGTCTGCGTAGCAGCGGTGTCTCAACGCTAGCCAGGGTCTGCATAAACCCGCCAGTATAAGATCAAGCTGGTTCTGCACATGCAACAATGAAGGGTGTAAAGATGCGACGAATCATAGATGCTCAATCTCACAACACGTGCACCGAATTGTGACCCTCAATTCCAACAATGCATTGGATCGCCCAGGGAGGGTGAATAATACCCCGCCCCCCCCCCAAATTCACATGCTCACAATACATGCTGCAAACGCACGAACGTATTTAATTTTGGAGATTGAGCATTGCAGCGATTACATGAACCAATGTAACCAGTTGAGATAGCGAGTACGACACCAGATCAGAATCTTTATTTACACTGCAGGAGGAATCCGATGCGCGATGAAGCTCTTTTTGCACATTGTCCAGTATGGGAGGAGCAGACAGGCCCCAAGGTGGAGCTCAACCCGTGCAGCACTTTCCAGGAGCAGCAGATTTTACTTGAATGGCCTTTGTCTCGGTGCTCGCAAATGACACAAACAGTACCGAGTTGGCCCTGGCGAAGCACCCCGCTCGGCTGCCATCATGAGGACCAATGGGGACATTCGGCAAAAAGCTGTCATGGAAAAGGTGAAGAGAGACCACTCGGCCGGTCAACCGGTGAGAGTGGTTTGCACGAGTTACTGGATGCAAAACAGAAACCGGTCCGGCGTTATTATATTTGACTTTGACCAGCACCCAGAATCAACAGATTTTGACCACAGGTGTAGAGAACGTGTCCACGTCCAGCGAATTTCAGAGATCTGTGCTCTGGTGGCTAGGCAAAGGCAATGCAGAAAATGAGTTTTAGAAAATGAGTTGTGATCCAGTCCGTGCAAACGTGAGTGTTAGCGTCAGGCGCTTTAGTAGTTTCTTCCGATATGCAAACGTGACCAAACATAAATGCAGACGTTTGGTCGTTTCGTGAAGCTTTTTACCGTTGAAAAAATGTCATTATCATGGAACAAGTTTAACGTATTTATGCCAAAAGCGTAGCAAACATTGTCACTTTATTGTGCATCACAACCGTACGGGGTTTCACGCGGTTTGATGATGACAGTGCAATGAACATCGCTTCTGATTTCAAGATGTACTTTTTACAACAAAAATTTTAAATAGCCTCGGGAGGGACTCGCCCGACTCGCGTTTGCTTCACATGCACCACGCATGTTAAATCAGGCGCAAATGTTCTGTTCCAAGCCATCGACTCCACACACACACACACGCGCGCGCTCACTCGGCGGTTTTTCGAAGCACCCTTGCGCACGCACGCGTGGGCGACCTTTCCGAGACGACGCGGCCTTTAAGAACAAATATGCCGTGCGTTCATGGTGCGTGGATGTTTTGCGGTGCGAGAGATGTGCCCTCTACGTTGCCGAGTTCCAAACTCCGAGCGGCAGCGGCGCAATGGCAACAGCGCCGTCGGAGCGGGCGCGCATGAGATATTGACGTCAAATGCATTTGCACGGTTGGGAGATGCGGCGCCGAGATCAACGAAAAAAAAAGAAAAAGGCCCTCATCCCAATCGGCGCAACCGGGGCGAGTGGTTCCGTGCATCCGATGCGGCAGGTGCCGTCTGTCTCCTGCGGTGGCCTGCGTGGAGCCAAGTAAAGACCCAGCAGAGCAGCTGACGATTGTGGGTGTCACTCACAAACGGATGGAGGGGAGAGCGAGAGAGAGAGACATTCCTTTCCAAACTATGCTAAACTAAACCACATTTTATTTCACCAGGTAAGGCGCCACTGAGCTATGTAGCTCTTTTTCAGAAGCAACCCAGCCACATATGATAGCTCAATGAAGTGGCTTGTCACGTAGAAATTTACACCAGCCAAATGCTCTAAATTCATGCCGATTCTAAATCTGGAGGGAAAACCGGAGGACACGGAGAAAAATCCACGCGACCACAGGGAGAGACATGCAAACTCCAAATAAATAGGCGTCAGGGTTGGGATCAAACCTATGACCTCCTGTATACCAGGCGAGGCAGTTAGCATCTCACCACCGCAGCACCCAAAATCACTGCACCTGCAAGGAGGCACGGGTGTGAGTTAAAGACACGATAACTCGTTCGTCTGTCAATCTCACCTGTGATGTCGGTGACCAAAGTGAGATTAACGAGCTCATTGCAACTATCAAGTAGATGCGAGGGAGATGAGGCAAGCGAGGTAAGCGAGCCCCCGAGACGAGAGATGTTGTGTATGTTGACAATTCTTTATGTGAGCACAAGAGACACCACCCACGCTGACCAGACCTGGCGCCAATTACAACTGTAACTTGTGTGAATCTTTCAAGAATTTCAATCGCAATGTAATTGATAGTTCGACTCACAATACTGTTATTACCGTCACGATAAATAACCCCAGATCTTATGGTCACACTGCTATTCATGTGAAAATGGCTCGCAAATTGTTTCAGATCATTACAAAAGTATCCCCCTTTCCTCGGAATTATCTTATCAACAATTCATTCTCCCCGCATTATCACAGATACGAGAGGCTAACAGGACTTAGAAATCAACGATGACCTGACCCGGCAAACCATGTTACAACGTCTCTCATCAAATGTACAAAGTGGAGGCAGGAAGCTTGGATGGGTCGACCACCGTGCATATTAAAAAGGAGTCAATAAAATACTTTTGGAAAAACAAAACAAGTTGCATGTGTATATATGTTGAACTTCTCTCACACCGTACGTTGCCAACCGCGATAATCGGCAGCTGCAGGGCTACGTTGCGGGCAGCAGGGAGCAGTGCAGCAACATCCATTGTTGTACTGTACTCTGCTTCCACGTCTGCATCTTACCCTAACCCCATTGTTTCAACGGCCTCTATAAAATCGGTACAAAAGATTTTCTTTTAAAAAAATGGAGCCGGTGGAGCCATCCTCTTCAGCGGGCCCCGTTGCGCACGAGCACGTACGTACGCCGAAACTTCTTTCCCACCCCACGTAGCACAAACCCGTCACGCCGATCGGCGGTGCTACTTGAGGTCCATGAAGCGAATGTCCATGACGAGGAGGATGCTGCGGGGCAGTGGCCGTGGCGCGGGCGACAGCACCGTGAACACCTGGCGCTCCGAGTCGACGGCCGTCACCACCAGGAAGCCGGCGACGCTCGCCTCCACCAGGTTCTCCTGGGTGCTCTCCGCCATGCTCAGGCTGAGCACGTGGTGCACCAGGTCGCGCCCCGGCGTGATGGGCACCACCTTCAGCTGGTTCTCCTCCTGGGACATGCCCAGCGGCAGGCACGAGTCCGGGATGGGTGGCGCCCCGACCTGTGGCGTGACGGCACCGCCCCGCATGGTTACGCGCAGCGTGGGCCGAGCCGGTAAAACACCACCGGAACTCCGATCGCTTATTCACACCGAGAAGAAAACGAGAGAATTTTCTCCCCAAATTTGGCTATCGCCTGATGATGCCGGTTGTAATTACTGGCAAAACGTCGGACTCGAATTGTAAACATTGTGGGTTTACTCTCCAACACATGCTGTACTAGTAACGAATTGGCACGTTCTGTTAACGTGACAAACCTTACTAATTGGCTGTGTGGGTTTAACAACACATTTGTGTTTACGCGATCTAACCCAAAAACCTTTATTATGGATAATATTCACACCGAGATCGCCGGTGGTGCACAGCTACCCTTTTGTCATTTCACTGCTGGATGAGGGCCCTCCCCACGCCGTGTGCGTCATGGGAGGTTGTTTGGCCGTACTTCACCGAGCTGGTCAGTCCGGGTTGGTAGAAGCAGGCAGGGAGCGTGAAAGTAGGAGCACAGGAATGCAGTACACCATTGGATTTTGATGCACTGCCCTCTGCTGTCCACAGCATGAAACCGTTTGTATACAGTGGTCACCCAACCCAAGCGATATCGAGGCTCAGCTCTATTGAGCTTCCCAGACCCAACAAGATGTCGTCGGCAATTTGGTAAAAATGTAATCGAAATCATACAAAATATGGGCCTTGGCTTACTTTACAATACATTCAAAACACAAACCATGGAATACGGGTGAACGCAAATATATACATTTTAAATAACAGGATAAAAAAATATACATTTGCAAACACGGTGAAAAAAAGGGTGAAAAAAGGGTGAAAAAAAGGGTGAAAAAAATTGCACGGCTCACCTTGTAGAGCTTGACGTCGGCGAACTTGACATCGAAGGCGTGCGGGAAGTAGGCGTTGCGGAAGCCGTAGAAGTAGCGGCGAACCAGCTCGTCGCGCCCCTCGCGGCGGAAGTCCTTGGATCGCTCCACCACGCCGCCCGACTTGGGCAGCAGCACCGTCTTGACGAAGTGGGGCAAGTCTCGCTTGAGCTCCGTGTACAGCCGCTCCTGATCCAGCACCAGGATCACGTCCACCTGCCAGCATCGCAGGGACGAACGGTGAATCATCGTCGTCGGCGTCAACGTTACGCCCGATCTCGTCGCGATGTGACGACTGCGGGCCAATCCAACGTCTATAACGTGCAGCATCTCAATGTGCCACTGTGCAGAAATCGTGCATTCTGTGAGTTAAAGGATTGGTGCTTTGGAAAGGAACGTGCAAGAGTTAGGGTCACTGACCACAGGGCCATACCACTCGATCAAACAACAAAGAAAATTACATTGTTATCCACAATTTCCTAATTATTTAGCCCGATGGTATTTGTCATCGCTGGGGAGGCAAGTGGGATGTATGTATGCATGTTGTTTCGCACCGTACGCCAGATTCTATGTTAAGTGATTATGCGGGGGAGGGGGTGCGTGTGGGGGAGGTTGGGGGTGGGCGGAGGGTGGTGAGGGACGGTGGCGGGGGAGGGGCAGTAACCTCAAACGCAGTGGCGGCGTGTATGAGGGCCTGGTAGCCGGCTCCCTTCACCCAGCCGCACGTGTTGATGACGCAGCCGCTGATGGCCGCACGCCGGTTCACCTTGCACCGCTGGTCGAACACGTCGGCGAGCTTTGACACCACCTGCCGCACGCACACACACACGCACGCGCACACACACGCACGTACGCACGCACACACACACACGCACACACACACGCACGCACACGCACGCACACGCACGCACGCGCACACACACGCCCCACGGTTACACCGCGGTTAGGGACAACGGCGCTCACTCACGTTGAAAAGACGACGGGGTGAAACTGCGTCGATTCTCACGTCGGCTATTTGCGATGTGCATTTCCAACATACGGTACATGTGGCAGGCGCTTTTTTATCGATTCATTGCTGGATGATGGCCTTTCCATGCCTAGCAGGTCACCAGGGTTATTCGACCATACTTCACCAAACTGGTCAGTGTGGGTTGATGCACAGATGAGGTAATGTATTTTGCTGCACTGTGCTCTGCTGCCATAAAACCTATCCCCACGGTACAGCATTATATGTTAAGTTATTTGTGTAGTTAAATAAAACGTTATAAACAGCAGCTTTGTGAGGATTGTTTGACCACAGTTCACCATGCCGGTAAGTGCAGGCTGTAGAACACCTTGAGGTGTTGTTGCACTAAAATTTTGTTGCACTCAGAAGCTATTAAAATGCTGTTGCATTCAGATGCTCCTGGTGACCGACTCATTCACAGTTGACCAAAACTCAGCCTCAAATGCAACTTTCTCAGCGGTGCCACGGGCTCAGCGCTCTTGAGCCTCCTTCTCGGCCGCCTCTCTCCCTCCCTCTCTCTCTCTCCCTCGGTCAGCCAGCAGGTGCTTTGCCTTGTTGTAGAGTTTCACGTTGGAGCTGGGCGTGGTGGAGCCAAAGTGATAGACGAGCGGCGCCTGCAGGTTGAAGCCCTCCTCCGTGTCGGCAGGGCCGCTCGATGTACAGCAGCGCCAGAGTGCCGGGGATGGACACGGAGCCCTGTCCCACGTCCAGCTCCACCAACGTGGGCCGACGGCCGAGCCGCGCCGCGTAGCTGCACAGCAGGCGGCACAGCGTGCTCTTGCCCACGTCGCCGGGGCCCGCGACCATGACCCGGGGGCCCCGCTCTTCCTCCTGACGCTCGGCCTGCACGCGCATCTGCTCGAGCGCCGCGTGCACGTTCAGGTAGAGCAGCATCGGCGTCTCCTGCGCGCGGGCGAGACGGAGGCACGTGCCGTGGCGGTGGTTAATGCGGGGGGGCGGGGGCACTCACGCGCCGTCCGTACGTACGCGTTATCTCCTTGAGCGGGGGGCGGTGACTGAGGACGAGCGGGTGGCTCCACAGCCACCCTGGTTGATCCTGCGGTGCGTGTCAACCATTAAACTCCTGCCGCCCGCTTCGCAGTGGCCGTTAAAAGATCCCGTGACATTCTAAGAAAAGGAGTAAGCCATGTGTGCCGGTGTCACGGTTCAAATGAGCCAGATATGAAAAATGACTGATAAATCCCTACTCGGGAAATCACAGAGCAATATCGCCCCCTACTGTGAAACTGCAGATTCTAATTGTAAATGAAACGGCGCCTTCGTTAGAACCTTGCGTTGAAAGCGTGGCGTGAATAATTTAATCGTTTATATTCTTTTCCCTCCCACCAGCTGATGAGCAACGATGGGGCCAAATAAACTCTCTCCATCTTTGTCCTTTACCAGTGTTGCTTCAATCATACTTTCCACCCTTTTTAAACCAACTCGTTCTTTGTCTCTCTCTACTTCACCGGAAAGCATACCGGGTCAGCAAAAAAACACATGCTGTGGAATACTGGGAGAAAAGAAATACATATTCGGAGGGAAATTAAATAATCTGTGGAGTCAAATCGGTAGAATAGTTGCCCAGCCAGTATTTGCATGCTGGTGACAGCACCTCCCACCAAACTGAAACTTGTTGAAATTGAGGTCATATTCGTGGGTGATGTGAGGTTCACAAACGCAAAATCAAATTTGAGTACGTGAAATCACATTTGCCTGACACTCGCGTACCACTGGGTGCTCGCAGACCGGTAAAATAACACTTCTAAAGGCCATTTTTGCTTAACCCTGCCATAAGCAGTCCTCCATTTACACTGCAGCTCAGGCACATGCACGCACGTACACAAATGCGTGCGCTCACACACGGCTCACACACGCTCACACACACGCGCGCACACGCACGCTCACACGCACGCGCGCACACGCACGCTCACACACACGCACGCACAAGCACGCTCACACACACGCGCGCACACGCACGCACCTTGGCGACATAGGCCACCTCGGTGAGGCCCGTGAGCTGCACGCTGCAGCCGTGCCACGTGAACACGGCGACTTTGGAGCCGCGTCAAACACGTAGCGTTTGTTGCGTGTCAGCTCGGTGCCGAAGATCTCTCCCATGCCGCTGAGAAGCTCCAGCGTTGCCGTCTGCTGGGGTTCCACCTCGAAACGCAGCTCCATCTCCTTCTCCAGGTCAAACTTCTGCATCGGCCGATCATCCTTCTTCTCTTCCGACATCGTCGCCCGCTCAAATCTAGATGACGCGATGCATGGCGCAACAAGCACGGTCAGAAATGGATTTGGTTTATTTTGTAAAAGTGGACTCGCAATCAATTGCAAAACAATACCATTCAAATTATTGGTTCTTTCGGTAAAGTCACGTAGAAGGGGAACAATAAAATAATAAACAATACAATTCTCACGACGTTTCGACTGCAACACAAGCAATCATCATCAGGTGTGAAATCCACAAATTTTCTTGCTGTGGATTTCACACCTGATGATTGCTTGTGTTGCAGTCGAAACGTCGTGAGAATTTTATTGTTTTATATTTTTATTATTTTATTGTTTCCCTTCTACGTGACTTTACCGAAAGAACCAAGAATATGAATCCCTGCAGTCGCGAATGCTTTAAATAAAAATTTAACACGATTCAAATCAAGATTAATACCATTTGGATTTAGACAGTGAATATATGATCTCATCCAAAGTGTCGATGAGTGAATATAAGTGATGGCGTTCTTTTAAACTCACCCCTCCAGATTTGACTGTTAATTCTCTGCCTCCTCATCAACTCCCACCCTGAGATTTTCCCACCACCACTAGCACCCCTCGTACAGCTTCACGTTCTCTCTGCCTCATCTTCCACCTCATTGTTTCAGTCAACCCCTCACTCCTCAATCTTTCCGATCTCCTCAATATCTGCTCACCTCTCCCTCCCTCCCTCATCTCTCCTTGCTCCTCCTGCCGAGAAACCTCGCTACAATCACCACCTCCTTCCCCTCATTCCGTCCCTCCACTCACATCACCCCTGCTCCCTCACCCCACTCCTCCGTAGCCCCTCACTCGCTCTTCTTCATCCAATTCCTTCCATCTCGCCACGATCTTCTCCCCGACGACTCCTCTTTATCCACTCCCTACTTATCTCCTCCCATCCTAAACTAAACTTTTATTTTTTATTTTACCAGGTAATTCCCACTGAGTTATTTTTCAGAAGCGACCCGGCAAACACTAATGATACCCACCCCCTCATTCCCTTCCTCCCAAACCCTCATCGCGCATTTTCTCTTATCTCCTCCAACCTCATCACTTCATCTCCGTGACACCTCCCCTATCTCTTCCCCCTCACACCTCCTATTACTGTCGCCGCCACCACCACCACCACCTCCTCCCCATCCCCTCACCCTCGCTCGCTCGCTCCCTCGGCACGTCGGCAGACGGGGGACTTCCTCCTCCTCCTCCCCATTCCCTCACCCGTCCCTCCGCACGTCGGCAGACTTCCTCCTCCGCTTACGAGCTGCGACCCAGCCGAATGTGCGCAGCGAGCGTCGGCAGAGAAAACAAAGTGACCCCTCTCCATTGCCCCGCCGTGTCGCCTTACAACAAACACACGACTATATATGTTCTTGGTTCTTTCGGTAAAGTCACGTAGAAGGGAAATAATGAATTAAAAATCTCACGACGTTTCGATTGCACCACAAGCAATCGTCATCAGGTGTGAAAACCACGGCAAGAAAATTAGAAAGTGGCGGTTTTTTCTTAACGTTAGCACTAAAAACCACCACTTTTTTCAAACATTTTCTTACTGTGGTTTTCACACCTGATGATTGCTTGTGTTGCAACCGAAACGTCGTGAGAATTGTATTGTTTAATTTTTATTATTTCATTATTTCCCTTCTACGTGACTTTACCGAAAGAACCAAGAATATGAATCCCTGCAGTCACGAAAGCTTCAAATCGAAATTAAACACAAAACTGTTGGGGCCGGTGCAGTTAGTTGACAGCGAACAACCTGTGAAGGCACCGTGGCACACGAGGGGTGGGTGGGTGGCCAGCACCAGGCGCGGGCCGCCTTTGTCTCCCCGAGAGCGAGCGATGTTTACTGCGCAGCGCTACCGATTTGGGGCCGGTCGAGAGGTGATCGTCAGCGGTGGAGGAGGCCGTGAGCGCTCGCTGGGGTCGTAGCTCAGCGCGGCCAAACGCTTAAGCAACCGCAACAACAACAACAACAGCAGCAGCCATTCGCCACTAAGTGACGGTGAGGTCACCACGGCGCTTGTGCCAGGCTAGGTGCACGTTGAGGCCACGTGAAGTGTCTAACGCCCGTCGCAGGAGTTCACGGGAGCAGACCCTGGTGGTGCCATGGGTTGACCCGACTGAGACGAGTGGCCGATGCACTACCCGTGCCCCCTACTGTGCCAGGCTAGGTGCAGGTCACGGGAGCAGACCCAGGTGGTGCCACGGGTTGACCGACTGAGCCGAGTGGCCGATGCACCACCCGTGTCCCCTACTGTGCCAGGCTAGGTGCAGGGGGAGGTCACGGGAGCAGACCCAGGTGGTGCCACGGGTTGACCGACTGAGACGAGTGGCTGATGCACCTGTGCCCCCTACTGTGCCAGGCTAGGTGCAGGGGGAGGTCACGGGGCAGATCCAGGTGGTGCCACGGGTAGACCGACTGAGACGAGTGACCCACGCACCACCCGTGCCCCCTACTGTGCCAGGCTAGGTGCAGGTCACGGGAACAGACCCAGGTGGTGACATGGGTTGACCGATTGAGACGAGTGACCCACGCACCAACCGTGCCCCCTACTGTGCCAACTCGCTGCGCTTTAGCCCCCCTCCCTCCGCTCGTTGTTGTGAGCGTCGCTCCTCTGCCCTCCGCTGCTGCTGTTGTTGTTGTTGGAAGGGCGACTGCCTCCAACTTGCCCCAAGTAGCAGCGGCGTCCTTCGCGAGCCTCCTCCACAGACACCGCTCCCACACGCGCACAACAACAACAACAACGACAACAACAACGACGACAACAACAACCGCGCCGTCGCGTCTCTGCAATTAAACGACCGCGTTTCCCGACGAAGCGAGTGACGGAGGCGGGCGAGGAAACGTGTGTCGATGGCCTCCTCCTCCATCGTGAGCACAAAGCGAGTCCGCGCGTGTGTGACGGCTCCACTCAGACGCAAACGTCGCTCGTTTAATCACACGCCGGCAGTGCGGCGGCGACGGTGGGAGCCGTCATTCCGTAGGGTCTGTGAAGATCGTGAGAGGGTTTTTATATTACGAACAAATCTGTTTGTGAAAACGTGTTGTGTGTGTTGTGTTACTCACAGTGGGGCCACGCTCCGCCACGCTTCCGAACGCCCCCCTCCTGGTGCGCTTCCCCCTTGACCCTTGACCCCGACGGCGGCGGCGGCGAGGAAGATCGAGGCCGCGTTCGGAAACTCCAGCGCGCGCGCAACTGTACACAGCGCGGTGACGATTAATACTGTAAAAAAATAAATTTATAAAATATGTATTTTAAAAAACGGTGTAATAAAAATATGTTTAAAAAGTGTGTAATACAAATATGTAAAAAAGTGTGTAATAAAAATATGTAAAAAAGGGTGTAACAAAAATATGTAAAAAAAAGTGTGTAATAAAAATATGTAAAAAAAAGTGTGTAACAAAAATATGTAAAAAAAGTGTGTAACAAAAATATGTAAAAAAAGTGTGTAATAAAAATATGTAAAAAAGTGTGTAACAAAATATGTTTAAAAAGTGTGTAATAAAAATATGTTTAAAAAATGTGTAGTAAAAATATGCCTTCTCGACAGACCTGTTCTCCACCTGAGGACGGCTGTCTTGCGTTGTGGCCGAAACGTCGTGAGAATTATTTTATTATGTTTTATTTTTATTATTTTATTACTTCCCTTCTACGTGACTTTACCGAAAGAACCAAGAAGAGTAATAGTACATGTGGAGTACCAAACAAACCCTTTCAATAACAATAAAAATATTACCGAATGAACTCATTCAAGTACAATTATACAATCTCGCCGGTACAATGCATTGTGGGAAGGTGTGCCTTTGTGACGTAGGAGTTGCCCACATTTGAACCCACCACACACGCCCTGCCCATCAACTCACCATGCGGTGGCCGTTTTTACTGCAGTATTCTATTCTTGCATCTTGCCAAAATATTCGGGAGCTGAATGCCAACGACGAGAGAGAGGACTTCACGAGTTCAGAGAGTTTGTGTAGTCAGCTTAACACGTAGGCTTTCGCGACCAATATTATTCATGATAAAGGTGTTTTGGGTTAGATCGCGTAAATATAAATGTGTCGTGACCCCACCACCACCCGACACAGCCAATTAGTAAGGTTCGTCACGTTCGTGTGGTTTTTCCATGACCCCCTTTGTTGGAGGAGCGCAGATTCCAGTGGTTAACTATATGGTTCATAGTCTGGTTTGCATGGCTACAATTGCACCACGGTACTGTGGCTTGTCTAAAACATCTATCTGTGAGTCGCTCTGGGTCTCTGTGAGTTTACCAAATAGTCCATAGTCTGGTTTGCATGGCTACAATCGCACCACGGTACTGTGGCTTGTCTCAAACATCTATCTGTGAGTCGCTCTGGGTCTCTGTGAGTTTACCAAATAGTCCATAGTCTGGTTTGCATGGCTACAATCGCACCACGGTACTGTGGCTTGTCTCAAACATCTATCTGTGAGTCGCTCTGGGTCTCCGTGAGTTTACCAAATAGTCCATAGTCTGGTTTGCATGGCTACAATCGCACCACGGTACTGTGGCTTGTCTCAAACATCTATCTGTGAGTCGCTCTGGGTCTCCGTGAGTTTACCAAATAGTCCATAGTCTGGTTTGCATGGCTACAATTGCACCACGGTACTGTGGCTTGTCTCAAACATCTATCTGTGAGTCGCTCTGGGTCTCCGTGAGTTTACCAAATAGTCCATAGTCTGGTTTGCATGGCTACAATTGCACCACGGTACTGTGGCTTGTCTCAAACATCTATCTGTGAGTCGCTCTGGGTCTCCGTGAGTTTACCAAATAGTCCATAGTCTGGTTTGCATGGCTACAATTGCACCACGGTACTGTGGCTTGTCTCAAACATCTATCTGTGAGTCGCTCTGGGTCTCCGTGAGTTTACCAAATAGTCCATAGTCTGGTTTGCATGGCTACAATTGCACCACGGTACTGTGGCTTGTCTCAAACATCTATCTGTGAGTCGCTCTGGGTCTCCGTGAATTTACCAAATAGTCCATAGTCTGGTTTGCATGGCCACAATCGCACTGCTGTGGCTTGTTTTTTTATTTTCCATTTGTGAAGGAGATGTGCACAGCGGCCTATTGATCCCGTTTTGCTCACGTGTGTTTTTTGGTAAATCGTACCCGTATTTATTTTACAGATGTCCGCTTTTAAACATCCTGTATCTTAACTACAAAAAGGCCGGATGAGGGATGTAATTTTCTGTACAATGCTTATGTACATATGTATTGTAGATACGGTAACCCATTTGCTGCTCTCGCAGTTAGCGATGTATGAAGACATGGGATTAGATTGTACAGATGCAGTTTAGATGACTGTTGTAAAATTATGTTACGCGGTGTGTGGGTGCCAACTTATACAACTCAAGACATGTGATTGATCGGACGCTGCAAGTGTTTGGTAACTCACACGGGTACAACACGGTTACGTAAAGTATCCAAACACATCGTGTGCGATGCCAAAAGCTCTTCGAAAAACCCGAATCCAGAGGGCAAATGAACAGTGTTCATTAGGACGCTGTCTTTCCGTCAGCTCTGTTTCTTCACCTGAGGACGGCTGCTTGCGTTGTGGCCGAAACGTCGTGAGACTTTTATTTTATTATGTTTTATTTTTATTATTTTATTATTTCCCTTCTACGTGACTTTACCGAAAAAAACCAAGAATATGAATTCATGCAGTCACGAAAGCTGTAAATCGAAATACCTAAGACCTCTGCTGTAGAAAGAATGTCATCTGCCGAAATTTTACTGAATTCTCTCAACGTCTTTGCGTTGATGAAGTGAGTTTTTTTGCACTTCGCAGCAACAGATCGCTACCCCCCTCCTCCCCCACCAATATAAAAGTGACTCCAATCGGTAAACTGCAATTCGCCGTGGAATGCGTGACGACCTCTGGAGCGTAATTAGTCCTGTGATTCAGCAGGGCTTGATGACTCCAGTTGTTGGGTGTCAGACGCACACGTTCGTGTTAGCACGGCTGTGTCGACCTTGGAGTGTGTAGAGGTCACCAGTGTTTTCGCTAATAGAACAGCAGCGCTGTCCCGTACTGAATTGGTGATCCTCTATTATTCGACAAATGTACAATTCAGCTTCGCGACTGCTCCTCGCCGTTGCTATTAATGAGCGTACTGTGGAGTGTATTCATTGACTCAATTGGCGTTTCTCCTCTGAAAAGGCAAAAACGTGAGGCAATGAAGATGATGTTATCAATTGTGTGCTATCATTTGTCCTAAAAATACTGCGCTTATTCAGCGTTGAGGTGCCGCTTAAAGATTTAGATTTTTCAACAAACAATCTTCATTTCCATGCAGACCAAATTTTGCCTGATAACAGTCTCCTTTGTTATATTCATGGTTTTTTTTAATTAGATTTTGTTAAAAAGTGACTTGCGAGAACGATAATAAC